GCCTCACCCCTTCCCCCGGCAACGCATTCCGGGCAGAGCCACTCGCCGTCCCCCAGAGACTTGCTGGTCTCCCCCAGGCAGCGCATGTGGTAGGTGGCAGGGCAGCCGTCGCAGCAGATCAGGTTGCCCCCCAGCCCGCACAAGACGCAGGTGTCGGTGTTGTGGTCCAGTGCCCCGGCGACCTGTGGCGGGGGGGCGACGGCGGGCCCCGCCTCGCACCCCGCCACCAGCTGCCCGGCCGCCTCGCGCCGGTCGATCTCCGCCCTGCATGATGTTGATGACTATTTGTGAGGAGACCATTGTGTGAGGCGCCCGTGGCGGGCGAATGTTGGCTTTGAAGCAGGGAATTCAGGTGCAGATGCACCCGCTCCTCCCACCATGCAGATGCTCGACAGCAGTGGCACGCCTGCCCTCAAGAAGAAGAAGAAGGAGGCCAGGGGCAGGGCAGGGCGTGCAGCCCTCCCCGAACGATTCCCCACTCCAGAACCCTTGGCCAGCCTCTGGTCCCCTTCCTCCCCCTGCTCGCCACCCCCCCCCCAAAGCCACCCTCTGCCCCTCACCGTATGGTGATGCAGTCCAGCAGGCTGTTGGCCAGCGACTCCAGAATCTTCACCTTCACCCTGAGCGGGAGCACGTAGTACTCGGGGCAGTGCCGCGGGCGGGCCGGGCCCCTGCCATGGAAGACGGCCCGCGCGCCGAGGGCGCCGCGGCCGCCCTTGGTCTCCGTCCCCTCCGCCGTCGCTTGGCCACCTCGCCCTGTCCTTTCCAGCCGGTGGGCCCACTCCCCGCGTGCCAGCGGGCTGCCGGACAGGCGCAGCCAGTCCCAGAGGTACAGCGGCCAGGTCAGCGCGTCCAGGAACTGGGGGTCCAGCGCGCGCTGCGCACGCTCCGCGGCCGTCTCGTCAATCATCAGCGCGCGCAGCATGCTGACGTGGACCTCGTCCACCAGATGGCTGGCGGCCTCCGCCGCCAGCGCCGCGCAGTAGGCGGCCAGGGGGAAGGGGGCCAGGCGCAGCTGCCAGGAGAAGGCGCGCAGCGTCTGGTATGAGGCCGCCAGCGACCCTGTTGTTTGGGGAAGGGAGGGGGTGGGCCGAAGGAGGGCGGGTGGTGGGCCGAAGGAGGGCGGGTGGTGGGCTGGAGGAGGGCGGGTGGGAATGGATCAGGAGGCTCAGGATTCCAGACTACAAACACAGGGGACGGCACCATGCTGTTCAAAGGGACGCATCCGACACCAGCCCACCCACCCAGGAGGTCGGTGGGGATGTCCAGGCATTCGTCGGAGTCGGCCAGGGCCACGCCGAAGGAAGCGGGGAGTGCGGCCTCGGCGGGCGGGGGGAAGAGGCGGTCGTCCACCTTTCGCACAAAGGGCTCCAGCCTGAAGCCGTCTGCGGGCGAGCAAGCAGCGTGGTGTACGAAAGGGCCACTTTGTGTCAGGGAGGAAGAATCAGCTCTTTGGCAGTCCCTCTCATCCAAGGGCCTTCCACAGACAGCAACAGTCTGTACCAACGGGCTCATAGTCAAGCGACAGACCCCTTGCTGGGTACAGAATTTGCCTGGCAAGCCCCCCGGTGCCTCGACACAAGACCCAGCCCCACCACACCCCACGCTCACCAACACGGCTGTAGAAAGAAAGACCGAGGTCCTCTCCATCCTCCCCCTGACTCTCCAGCTCCTCGTACTCCTCCTCGTACTCCACCTCCTCCTCCTCCTCCTCCTCCAGCTCCGAGTCGCTGTCAGGCTCGCTGGGGTCGCTCTCCGAGGACGTGTCGGAGTTGGGCCTCAGCCTCTTCCGTGCCTGGATGGACCGCTTCCGCGCTGACCCGCGCAGGCGCCTCAGGTCAAACTGCAGTGGCAAAGGAACAGGTAGGGAGTCTGGAACAAGCTAAAGCTGGATGGTCCGCCGGCTTGCTCATATGGTGGTACACTGGCCGGCAACTCGAATCTGTAAGCCGCAGTGATGCGACATCTGATGCCAGGGGGTAGCCGATCTGATTCCCCTCAGCTTCCCTGGCCACCACCTGCTGGTAGGCTGGGGTCACCGCAGCCTTCCACCACACCATCTCTCACCTTTACTGCAGTGGCGGCGCGGCCAGACACGAGTGGCCCCGCGCCTCCTCCTCGGGAGAGGCGGCTGGGAGCGGAGACGGCACCCTGCGCGCCCCTCCCCCTGCCCCTGCCCCGCCCGCGGCCTCTCTCCCTCCCTCTCCCCCTCCCCCTGCCCCGCCCACGGCCACGGCCAGGACGGAGGGGGATGGCATCCTGAGATGGCGTGGCCGGGCTCGCAGGGCGCTCCGCGAGGCGCCGAGGGCGACCCTGCGGGCAGATGGATCAGCTTTCTGACGAAGGGTCAAGGTGAGGGTGGGCCGGCAGGTCGGCAGGGAGAGTCTTGAACTCATCACTCACCCGTGGGCCTGCCATTTCAAATGCAGTCAGAGATGACAGGCGCCTGCAAGTATACCAGGGTGTTGCCCTGCTGGGAAGAATGCACGAGATGGGGTGCGCATGACGAACAGTCAGTCATATGTGCGGAACGGTCGAGGATCATGCAGCAAGGACTCACCTCAAGTGTTATGCAGATCCCGCGCGGTCCGTCGCCATGAAACCCGCAGGTTAGCTGGCTCAGGAGGTCCGGGCAACGACAACCAGCCCCGCGAGTATGCACCAGGCTCAAGGACCCCTCTCCTTCTTGAGCCTTTAATTATTAATTCAAATTGGGTAGATTGATGCTGCAGTGTGTACCAGGAACTCCTAGAAGGATGCAATGGATGGGCCAGAGAGAGGGAGCCGGGAAGGCGTCACACCAGCGAAGGACGCTCGGGGATGCAGGGAGGCCTGCGCGGGCAAAAACTGTACGGATAAAACATATTTGAGATGTGCCGGCGAGATACAGTTATTGGGCGCCGGTGTGTGGGCGGGGAAGGGAGATCACGCCATGCCATTCTCCCGACGGGCGCCTTTGGGGGAGGTGCTGGCTTGCGCAATCGGGCAATGAACAGCTGCAGGCCATTTTTGGAGCGTTTCACGGTTTCTCTGCCTGGCTTCCTGTCGGCTCCGTGGCTAGTGATCAGAAGGACTCACATCAAGGGTCCTCTTGGAATCGTTGCAGCCTGTTTTCAGTCCAGGACAGGGCAGTCAGGCACGAGCCAAGCCCTGCAGCCCCGGCCGGGGCATCAGGCTAGGGCATGAAAGTCATCCAGGGAGATGAGCTTGATGCGGTCTTGCCGCCGCACCACCTCCCTCTCCTCTTGCGTGTTGTAGCCCCAGTCCACAAGGTACAGGTTCCAGTGGGCAAGCTGCGGCATGGCTGCCACCTGTTCGAAAAGGGGGAGAGGAAATGATGGTCATAGAGTATATGAAAAACTGCTGCTTCGTCAATGTCCAGAGTGATACAGAATCACACAGCTACTTGCTTTTCAGTGTCATGTTTAAGACCAGCATATGACACCCATGGCACACCCGCCCTCTGAGGCGGGGCCTGGCCGCCTCAGTCCCCAATCTCCTCATCCTCCCACCACCCGGCCTCTCGTCCTACCCCCCCCCTTCCCTCCCCTCTGCCACCGCTTGCCTTGTGTAGGGTCAGCGCCTTGTCCTCTACAAAGTGGTACTGGGTGCCGGGGTGCCTCTCCTCCAGAAGGTGCAGGATCTCCGACTTGGGCGCACCCGTCTCGGCCTGGGAGAAGATGCGCTCCGGGGGCAGGTCCACGCCTGCCAGGCGGTGCAGGATGGCCTCCGCGAAGCGCGCCTGCTTGGTGGTCACGATGTAGGCCTCGTGGTCGGCCACCAGCCGCCGCACCGACTCGGCGACGCCGGGGTAGATGTCGTTCATGTCGATCCAGGCGGCCAGATCCTCCTGCATCATCTGGTCACGCATGCCTCCAAAGGCAGCGAGCAGCTGAGGTGTTTGGGGGGAGGGAAGGGGGGAAATTGTAGAGAGGAGAATACCATGGGACATGGAGGGGTGTTTTCACTTGCTCATAAGGGTGCGGAGCCCACCCCCCGAGCCTTAAGATCTTGCACCTCGGAGCGGTCCAGGCCCCAGAGCTGCATGTGCTCTCCGAGCAGTTTATGCCAGTCTTTGAGGATGGCCTGGGGGTCGACTCCTGCCAGCAGGCACCGCACCAGCACAAGGTTCTCGTACCTGCGCGCAGAAGCATGCAAGGCTGTCAGGCACGGTGCCGCTGAAGCTGTGAGGAAGAGAGCCTGAGTGCCGTCCGACCGCCTGGGGAAAAGGGGCAAGTTCTAGGCTGGAATCCATCGTCCCTCTCACCCGGTCTCCACGACGGGGCGCACGACCTTGAGCTGGTCGATGATCTCCTGTCGCCTGGCCACCACCTCTGGCCTGGCAAACATCTCTGGCCAGTACTGCGCAGAGGCCTGTGCGTCCCAAGCAGGGTGGCAGGAATGAAGTTCAATTTACAGGTTTAAACGAGGACAACATGTTGCACGACCACTTGTGAAGTTCCACATCTCCCCCTCGGCCGTGCACTCCCTCCTCACTCACCTTCCATGCAGCTATGGCCGACTCTCCCACCGAGTCACAGACCACACCGTCGAAATCCAGGGCCCAGACCTGGCGCTGCGCCTGAACCTGCAAGCGTGGCATTTCCCTTGGTGCACGGTGCACTCTGCACAGAGTAACGCGCAGGCTGGTCCTGTGGGGTGCGAGTTGTTGGGTGCGGACCCTCAGCAGCATATACCACACTGAGTAGGTGCCCAATGCCGTATCTCGGCGCCGCCAGCGCGCGTTTGCTTTGGTTTATAAATATATCCACGCGACCAACGTTTGTGGCAGTTCCAGGGCATGTGCGGGTTGCTCCTGGCGCATGAGAAGGGGGGGGGGGGATGAGACGTGGATCTCGCGCCCGGGACATGGAGTCCATGTGCTGGTATCGGCGATGGTCTGCAGTGCAGCTCCCCCATGTCACCGTACCAAAGATTTGAGGCACACAAACTCCTGAGCGTCCACTCGTGACGAGTCATTCTCCCCAGGGCAGCCTTGAGGCTAGGACTGTAATGGGCAGCCAGCCCATCACCCACCAGCCCATGCATTACCGTCGAAGTTGATAAAGGCATTATTCGTGGCGATAGGAGGGTCAATATCGGTCAAGATGTGAGTCGACACTGTCCCTCCTGCTGACCACTTTGGTTCGAACGGGACCGCAACGTCACCGTCGGCCTCGCGCTGGGCCCTGCATCGAGCCCCTTCCTCCCCCCACAAGCGCTGCAGGTGTCGTCTCATGGCGTTTTATGGGATCGACCCCATCCTGGTTGCGGACGTGGTCCTCTGGCCTGCCCGCTCCATCATCAAGGTCTGAGCTCGAGAGGGAGGGGGGGTTATGAGTCATGCAGTCCCGCACAGCACCCTGGAGACGTGCTTGGGCCCCAGCACGCCCTTCTCATCGGACCAGTGCCTCTGAGTAAAGCCCATACCTCCTCTTCAACCTCGCAGCAATCTTACGACGCACGGGAGCGCAAGAACGACAGCAATCTGCCCCACCACCTGGGGTACGGCAACCTCAATGGCGACGGCTTCGGCATCGGCTGGTTCTCCACCTCGCTGAGTCAGCGCCCCGACTCCGCCAACCCCTGCGTCTTCACCTCCATCACCCCTGCCTGGAACAACGAGAACCTCAACCGCCTGGCCACCAAGATCGAGAGCCGGCTCGTGTTTGCGCACGTGCGCGCCGCCTACCCGGGCATGCCCGTGTCGGAGCAGAACTGCCACCCCTTCCAGTGGGGCCGCTTCCTCTTCATGCACAACGGCGTGGTGGCGGGGTTCATGCAGGTGCGGCGCCACCTGCTGGCCCTCCTCTCCGACGCCGCCTATAACGCGGTGCAGTCCTTTCACTCCGACTCCGCGGTCTGGTGAGCGGTGGCCTGGGAGCATATGGGGAGAAGTGATGGGAACGGGATGGGCGTGGAGCTACCGGGGTGGCTGAATCCTAGGCACGCAGGGAGCTGCAGTGAGTGCTGCTGAGGCAATCGGCAGGAAGTCGCTCGTGCTGCGCCTGCACGGCCGCCGGGGTTGGCATGGCTGCGCACCGACCACCCAGTCCCACGGGCCGCCGCACCCACGGCCCCCTCCACCTCCCCTGTGTGCCCCCTCAGCTTCGCGCTCTTCCTGAACCAGCTGCCGGACATGCACGCTGCCCCCAACCCCGTGGTCATGCTCAAGGCGTTGGAGGTGGGCTGGGATCGTGCAGAGATGGGATTGGGACCGTCATCCCGGAGGGGCACCGTGATGACTCGCCTTTCGATCAGCACGTTATCGACGCCTCTCCCCTCGACGGGCCCCGACCTTTGCCAAAGACGTCGTCCCGGAACCACACCCCAGCTCGCCTTGCCCTGTGTTCTGGGCAGAAGACCCTCGGCCGATCCCCGGAAGAAGGCCCAGACCCCTCCTCATACACCCACCGGCCCACCCACAGGACACCATCTCCATCATCCAGGAGACGCAGAGCCAGCACGGCATCGCCGGCAACTCGCTGCTCAACTTCTGTGTGTCAGACGGCGCCACGCTGGTGGCCACGCGCTACACCTCCAGCCCCGACGAGGAGCCTGCCTCGCTGTACTACGCCGAGGGCTGCAGCTACGACCGCAGCAAGGAGGGGGTGGAGGAGTCGGGCATCGCCTCCGCCGCCGCCGCCGCCTCCGACCCGGGCGGGCAGCGCGACAGCGGCACGGCCAACGCCAGCTCCAAGGCCGTTGCGGGTGGGCGAATGGGACACTTCCAAGAATGACAGGGGGCAAGGGGACAAGATCTAGGAGGCGGCAGTTGATCAGTCCTCGCGTGGTACCCGCTGGGACGCAGGAATGCTCATCCCTGCACTCAGGCTCATCCCATTCCGACTCCCCACTCCACTTCCGTCCACTGCTCGTCCCTGGCACTCACACTCCATGCCCCCCCAAGTCAATCGCACCCATCTGACTCCTGCCTCAACCCCTGCCCCTTACCCACCCCAGGCGAGGGCGACTACCACCTGACCTACTCGGAGCTGGGGTCGCGCGTTTGCCTGATCGCATCGGAGCCAGTCACCTCCAGCGGGTCGGACTGGGTGGAGGTGCCGCGCAACACTGCGTTGGTGGTCTGCCGCGAGACCAGTGGCGTGCTGTGCGTCATGCGCTCGCCGCTGGTGGCCGGCGCGGAGAACCCGCGCCGCGCGGAGGTGTACCGCTGCCTGGAGGCGGTGACGCTGGCCGCCGGGGTCAAGCCGGGCGCGCGAGAGCCGGTGCGCGCGCCTCGCGTGGGTGAGGGGCACGAGGCTGTGCGCGCCAGCGCCGCCTCGCTCAGCCGCTGGCCAAGCGAGGCGACGGGGCTGGGGAGCGGGGGCGAGGCGGGCGGCCCGGCCTCCGCGCCCTCGGAGGACGAGGCGGGGTCGGGCGCGCCGCCCGCGGGCAAGCGCCGGCGCGACGGCGGCCGAGGCGGCCCCGCCTGGGAGGCGGCCGCCGGCTCTCAGGATGCGGACGAGGCCGGCCCCGGCCACATCTCAGCGGGCGTGGTCCCCGAGGCGGGGGTTTCGTCGCACGCAGACCAGGACGCGTCCACGCAGCCGCCACCCAGCAGCGCGTCACTGGAGCGCCACCTGCTGACGGGGCACTCCGGCACGGTGATGGCGCTGTGCGCCTCGCACGACCTGCTCTTCTCGGGGGCCACGGACTGCAGCATCAAGGTGTGGAGCCTGCAGTCGCTGGCCTGCGTCGCCACGCTGCGCGGGCACCGCGACCCCATCCGCGCGCTGACCGTCTGCGGTACCCACCTGGCCTCGCTGGGGGCCAAGACGCTGCGCCTCTGGGCGCTCTCCTCCGACTTCACCTGCGCCTCCGTCCTGGCCGTCGCAGACGTGACGGGGAACGCCAAGACCGTGGTCGCGCCCTGCCCAGCGGCCACTGCCTCGGCCGCCGCCTGGGTCTACGTCGGGAGCCAGGACTGCCGCGTGCGCGGGTTCCGGGCGCCCGCCGGCGCGGGGGCTGGGGGCTGCGCCGCGCGGCCGGCGCCGACTGTGGACGGCGACCGCGCCGGCGCGGCGGCGGCCACGTCGGCAGCCGCCCCTGGCACAGCGCCGTCGCCCTTCCTGGAGGCGGACTCACCGAGGTGCATGACCTCCCGCGACCGCATCTCCTCCCATGTGCCCCCCGCCGCCGGCGCGGCGGCCATCACCCCGGAGGCCACGGGGCATGCGGGCGCGGTGACGGCGCTGGCCGCCAGCGGCGAGGTGCTCTTCTCCGCCTCTGCAGACTCCACCATCCGGGTCTGGCGCCTGCCGAACCTGACCCACGAGCGCGTCCTGCGCGGCCACAGGTCGGTGGGATGGGTTCTAGAGGGGTATGTTGCCCGGCGGGAGGTGTGGGGGAGAGGCTTGAAGTCTGTGCGGGAGGAGAAGGAGGGCGTTTTACTAGGTATCTGTGTGGGTGGGATAGAGGATATGGGATCCAAGTGAAGAGACTGGCGAAAGAGGGGTGGTCAGAGTGGGAGATCCTGGGACAGAAGCCCAGGCCAGGGATCGCTGGTGGCGAGGTTAGGCCCGCTCGCAGAATCGCTGAGCTTCTGGCTTCGAGAAGTACTGACGCTGACGGCCCTCATGAGAGTCCTCCATATCCCCCTCTTGACGAGCCTCCGCACCCAGTCATCATACTCCACCTCTTCTGTCCTTTGCTCTCTCGACGCACAGGGGCTCCGTGCTGGCGCTGCACCTGGCGGGCGGCGTGCTGCTGAGCGGCGGGCGGGACGCGGTGATCCGCGTCTGGGATTGCGGCACGCTGGTCTGCCGGCGCACGCTGCCCGGCCACCGCGGCGACGTGCTGGCGCTGACCAGCGTGGGCATCGCCGTCCCCGCCGGCGGGGCGGGGGAGTACGCAGACCTGCTGTCCCCCGGCCTGGCCTCCCCCCTGGCCAGCGCCGCCGACATCAGCCCCGCTAACCCCCTGTTTCTAGGTGCGGGGGGCGTCGGGGCCGGCAACGGCATCGGCAACGCAGGGAGCACCACGTCCAACCTTCACCGCCGCCAGCCGCTGCTGTACGCCAGCGCCAGCGCCGATGGCTGCGTCCGGCTCTGGGACGCGGCGACCTTTGCCTGCCTGCGCGTGCTGGGGGGCGGCCCCGGCGCTTCCCCTGTCATGGCCTGCGCGCTGACCGAGACACATGCCGCCGCGGCGCTGCCGGACGGCGTCATTCGCCTCTATGCGTGCGACGACCTATTTGTGGCCGCCGCCGGGCGGGCGCTGGGCGTGCCTGTCGAGGCGGGGGAGCCGGGGAGGGGCGGGGTTGAGGCCAGGACTCGGCGGGGGCAGGGCGCCGCGCCCAAGCCCGAGGCGGGGGACGTGGTCACCAAGATGGAGAGGGAGCTGGAGCGCGCGCTGCGCACCTTCATCCGGCTCAGGTGGGAGGAACGGAGGGAGAGGAAGGATCTGGCGTCCAAAGGAGGGGGTTGGCTGTGAGTGGATGGCCCAGGGACCAGCGGCCGGCTGCTGCGGCCGCGGCCACCGCTGGTAGTGACGTGGAGGCCTAGATGCCTGGGCATGGCTCGGGTGTTCAAACACCAGTCCACACCAGTCCACGTCATCAAAGCCCACCCCAAACACACGCCACCAGGACCATTTCCGTCGACCCCAGCAAGTCGGAGGACTGCTTCCGGGGCGCCAAGTTCCTGCACCGCCTGCTGGAGGGGCTGGGCGCCGAGGTCAAACTGGTGCAGCCCATGGAGGGGAAGAACCCGCTGGTCATCGCCAGGCTGGGGCGCTGCCCCACCAAGCCCACCGTCACCTTTTATGGTGGGATGGGGGTTGGGGGATGTGTGGTGAAGGTGCAGCAAGATGCAGGCTCACTGTACTGTGTACGGCAGCAGCGTTCCATGTGCCCGTAACCCCGACGCCATCCTGGATCCCATTTTGTATGTCGCAATCCAAAGGACACCCCCCGCGACCCCCTTCCACCACCACTACAATCACCCCCGCAGGTCACTACGATGTGCAGCCGGCGCTGGAGCCGGAGTGGCAGACCGACCCCTTTGAGCTCTCCTCCATCGATGGCCACCTATATGGTCGGGGTGTGAGCGACAACAAGGGTCCCGTCCTGGCCTTCATCTATGCTGTCAAGGAGCTGCTGCATGAGCATGAGGCCGAGCTGCCGGTCAACGTCGCCTTCCTCATTGAGGGTGGGAGTGAAGGGGGGGGAGGGTGTTATCTTAGGGGGGGAGCATGGCCCACGTGGCCATGTCCCAACGTTTGGATCTCTGCAGGCCGCCTCCTGCAGTCACCTGGCTGGTGTTTCGGGACACGAGGTGCCGGGCGCTGGGCCTCACCTGTCTCCACCAGCGCCGCGCTGCGTGCCACCACCCGGCCCCCTGTCCCTCTGCTCACTCCTCTGCCCAGCGCCGGCTCCACGGACCCCCCTCCCCCCGACCCAAACCCCAGGCGAGGAGGAAAACGGGTCCACCGGCTTCCACGAGGCGGTGTCCGCCCACCTGGGCTGGTTCGAGGGCTCCCAGATCGTCATCATCTCCAACACGCTGTGGGTGGGGGAACGCGTGCCGTGCCTGACCTACGGCATGCGCGGCATGATCAGCGCGTCCATCGAGGTGCATGGCCCGGCGCGTGACCTGCACTCCGGCAACGAGGGCGGCGTGTTCAGCGAGCCCCTGGCGGACCTGACCAAGGTCCTGGCCTCGCTGGTGGACGCGCGGGCCAACATTCTGGTCCCAGGCTTCTACGACGCGGTGCGCCCCGGCATGCTAGACGCGGCGATGCGCCGCCTCCCTGCCTCCCACGAGTTCAGCCTGGAGGGCTACCGCGCCCAGATCGGGGTGCGGCGCCTGACCGCGGGGCGCAGCGAGTGGGACCTGCTGGCCGCGCGCTGGTGCCTGCCCAGCCTGTCGGTGGTGGACGTGCGGGTGGGGTCGGGGGACGACCCCGCGCGCTCCGCGCACTACCGCTTCGGCCCCACCCGCTTCTCCGTCATCCCCCGCGCCGCCGTGGGCCAGGTGGCCATCCGCTTCGTCCCCGCGCAGCGACCCGAGAGCCTGGTGGAGCACCTGAGGGCCCACGTCGCCCACGAGTTCGCCAAGCTGCGGACGGGGAACGAGATTGCGGTCAAGGTGCACTCCATCGGCGACTGGTGGGAGGCGGACGAGGCCTCGCCCTACACCAAGCTGGCTGAGCGAGTGGTGCAGGAGGAGTGGAGTACCACCCCCCTGCTCGTCAGAGAAGGTGAGGCTTGTGGGGTGGTTACGATGGGGAAGGGGGGGGGGAGGGGGGGGCACAATGATCCTTGTTCTCCGTGTGTGCTGGGGTCCTCGAGCTGGGGGAGGAACATCTCCTCCCGACCAGCTGAGCCCGGAGTGCACCATCACAAGCAAGGATGGGGGAACAGGGACTGGGGCAAGGAATACTTTGTTCCCTTCCTCCTCTCCTCTGGCCCGCCGCAAGTGTGCGCGCCAGCGCCACCTCACGAGCGACGCCCGCCGGTGCTGACCAGGTCCCTCCACCCTCGCTCACCGCCGCGCAGGTGGGACCATGCCCGTGGCGAGAAAGCTGGAAAAAATGCTGGGCGCGCCGGTGCTCATGCTGCCCATGGGCCAGTCCTCCGACAACTGCCACCTAGCGAACGAGCGCATCCAGCGCGTCAACCTGCTGCGCGGGAAGAACGTGGTCAAGCGCCTGCTCATGGAGGCGCCCCGCGCCAAGGCCGCGCAGTGAAGCCGGGGCGCAAAGTGCCCCACCGCCCGCCTCGACTCTGTGAGACCCCGCATGCACAGTGTGCCCTGACATGCTTGCAGCGGGAGAGTGGGCTGTCAAGAGGTATTGTAGACCTATGGTACCCCACACACTAATCAAGAGCCCGCCAAGGCCCCAAAGAGTCGGCGATTCTCTTGGTCAATGGTCCGGACGAGTGGGGGAGGGGCGCGATGACTTTAGTATACGTCATGCGCAAATCCCCGGTGCCCGCAGGGTAGCCGTGCTTGCACCGCGAGGGAAAACAGAAACTGTTATCGTTATTTGTGTGATTTGTATCCAGGATTAGGGCAGCACCCAGGCCGCCATCGTATAGGACTGCTTTCCAACCTGGGGTTTCCCTACGTTCGGCAAGCGGGCCTCGCTGTACTCTCCCATGACCGCGTGCACAGTCGAGGTGTGGCGTCGATGAGATCAAAGACTCTTACTTCCTCTGTACGGGGCCTCTCACCGCCCGTATGCCGGCTGTGATTCCGCAGTCGGAGCAGGGAGCCAGGCAGGGCCCACACCGGGTGGCATGGGCCGTGAGCCCAGCAGCCGCGCCCTGCGCGAGCCCCACTCCACCTTCGAGGGTCCGGGGCGGGCGGGGAGCAAGTACGACTTCGTGAAGGTCCGTGTCTGGCTGGGAGAGGACCAGGCGCACTGGTACACGCTCTCCCGCTTCCTCATCAGCAGAACCCTCACAGTGACACAGATCCCCGCCGACAAGGTGAGAGGCATGCCTTGGCATTGTTGCAGCCAGGAATAGTCTGTAGGAGTGCCTATGCCTTCATCAGGCCTGCAGGTGGGAGGGAAGTGCCGTCCCAGAGCAGGCACGTGCACCGGGGCGCTTCCCCTCTTCTAAAGCTGCACCTGCCCACTCCCATGCAGGCCGTCCGGATTGCCCTGGCCGTGAAGAAGGACCTGGTGGACCGCGGGAGGCTGGAGGTGTCGCAGGAGGAGCTGGAAAGCGCGCTCACCTCCGCCCTGGTAATCCATGGCGTGGGCGCGCACCATCTGCCCCGCTACCGCACGGTCTCCGCCTTCTTTCAGCGCCGAGCGCCACTCATCGTCCTGCTCTGCGGCACCGCTTGCACTGGTGAGAAACTGAAAGGGAAAGCGTCGCTACGCATGCATGTGGGCATGGCTGCCATCACACTGTGTTGCAGACTGCTGTGCCTCGTGTCAGCCTCTTGGCTATGCATTCCCCAGAATATTTCTGAAGTCGTCCATCCTATGCTCCACTCTTACCCCATTCATGCCCCCTTGCCTCCCTCCTTTGGTTTATGATGCAGGGAAGTCCACAATCGCGCAGCTGCTTGCTTCTCGGCTGAACCTGCCTAACGTGCTGCAGACTGACCTCCTGATGGAGGTGGGACATGCTGTTCGTTTATCTCGGATCCCTGCTGCTCGATGCGCGCCGATCCGGGCTAAAAGCACCATTCATGCCTTCATGCCACCTATTAAACGAATCCCTCTGCACCTCACCGCTGCCCAGTTCTTTCGGGGCAGCGAGGTCGTCCCCGCTCAGCCCTCTGTCTGGCACGCCGAGGACGAGGAGGCTTTGGTGTCTAGGTTCCAGGCCCAGAGCCGCCAAGTGCGGCGCGGGCTGTCCGGCGACTTGCACAAGGTGGGCAGGAGTGTGACGTGTGGCAACCTGCTGTCCCCGCAGGATGGCCCTTGGCTGAGTACATCCGATGCATGGCCGGCACTCCTGACACACGGGCACTCCCTTCCTCTGCAAGTGCATTGAGGAGGGCAAGTCGATCATCATAGAGGGGTGCCACCTTGACCCCAGCCTGTATTTGAACGAGTTTGGGGCGGCGGCGGTGCTTGAGGACGCACAGGTGGGGCAGGTGGACCTTGGTGACCCAGCCACGACTCGGAGATGAGTGAGCCTGCTTGCTCCAGGTCACATCGTCGGCTCGCAGAGCATGTCGCCTTCTGCAGTGGCCCATGCCGCTGCATGTGATGAAAGGGCTCTCCACCTGCCCACCTCACACGTTCCCCTTTCCACTCTCTGCAGATCTGCCTGGCTTCGGGGCGCACATCCAGAGCAGACAGCTCCGACTCAGGGTCCTCGCATGGACCGGGCCGCATGCAAGCCCGCTCCTCCTTCGAGTCCCTGGCAGCAGCGGCCCGGTCCTCTCCCTCTCTCCTCTTCATCCCCGTGATCCTCTGGGTCGATGAGAAGGAGCACCACCTGCTCATGGGTGGAGAGGCCGGGGTGCCAGGGGGAACCGTTGGCGCCCCAGGCATCGCGCTGCAGGCGGCGTGGCTCCAGCGCTACCTCCTCCGTTTCCAGGCGAGGGGGGTTCCCCTGCACCGCGTCAGGCCGGGTGCCTTCCAGGAGACTGTGCAGGCACTGCACAGCCACGTGCTCGACTCCATAGAAGCAGCTGGCAAGGAGTAGGGGTTGCAGGGCACAGGGGCCGCTGCCGTCCAGCGCCCTGCCCCTCGCATGCCCAGGAGCAGCGAGAGTGTGCTGAATGTAGAGTGATGAGTGGTCAGTGAGCATACCAACCCGATGTAGGCCCATAGATGTAAGGCGCACGGCAGACACTGCGGCGGTCAGAGCGCCCTCACCACAATAGGGACCCCGTACGGCCGCTCCCAGCTGACGTCAGCCCCACCGAGGAAGTTTTGCCGACGCGCTTGACCCCCAAAAATGGAAGACATTTCGTGTCGGGGCAGGCTGTTGCATTCTTTGCACATCCCCTATGCAAATTCGCACATCATGGGGGACTTCAGTGAGAGCAAGGCGAGCCGGGAAGAGGCCGAGTTGCGGGCCCCGTTCGTACGCAACGATCGATTTGGGGAATTCGGCATGGGCAACCTCCCTACCTGCCTGAAGGCTGTGCTGGCGCTGGAGTCCATCTTCATCCTTCCATTCCGAGCTGTGGGGTCCTTCCTGTGCCTCTTCCTCTACTGGCTGGTGTGTAGGCTGTCCAGCCCACTCCCTCCTCAGCACCGAGCCGCTATCGTGGTGCCCATGGGCAAGCTGGCCTGCCGATCCTGCCTCTTCTGCATCGGTTTCTTCAAGGTCGAGTGGGTGCTGGATCCAGCTGCCGGACAGGGGCCGCGAGCCGGAGGCATAGTGAGCAATCACTGCAGCTGGGCTGACATCCTGCTGCACATGTCCTACTCCTTCCCCGCTTTCGTGGCCCGGGACTCGACCGCCAACCTCCCCTTCATCGGCATCATCAGGTGTGGGGGGTGACGTGGTGGGTAGCATTGCAACCTGGCCCCGGACAGGATACATGATTTGTTTCAGGATATTCATGCCTCAGTGTCCATGATGATGAGAATGCTCTTGCCAATCTGAGCGCCGTCCCCCTCTCCCGCCCTGCAGCCAAATGATGAGCTGTTTGTACGTGAACAGGAACAGGACTGGTCGCAACCAAGCTGTGAGTTTAGGAGTTGAGGCTCTGCTGGCTGTGTGTTCCCTCATGAAGACTGCAGCCCATACCCTTGCTGTCACAGCGGCGGCGCTGACTGTCCTCTCCCACCTCCGTCTGGGCTGCGCAGGGTGTAGCAGACCTGGTGAAGCAAAGGATGGAGGATGAAGCTGCGGGAAGGACGGGCGTGGAGAAGCGTCCGCTCCTCCTGTTCCCGGAGGTGTGGGGGGGGGGCCGTTGACTGGAAATGGGAATGCTCAGGCATCACTACAGCCCGCCGCATGACCAAGGGCCGCTGGTGGCGGGCATAGCCTCATGCATGGCTGGCTCTGCACTTTCATGATCTCACCTCGCACCCCATGCTGCCACATCATTCTGACATTGCTCTCGACAGGGAACGACGAGCAATGGGGAATACATGCTGCCCTTCAAGACCGGGGCCTTCCTGGCTGGAGTGCCCGTGCAACCCGTCGTTATCAAGTACCACAGGGTGAGCCGAGACCTAGGTTCAGGGTTCCGCGATACTGTGCAATCGTGGGAGCGAGTGCTTTTGCTGGAAAGGTCATCTCTGTGCTTTGAAATTGATATCATTCACCCACAATGGGGTCATTGCAGGGCACAATCTGGCCCACATGGGAGACTATTCCCCCCCTCCGCCATCTCTTCCTGCTTTTGTGCCACCCGCGGCACTCTGTGACCTTCCTCGAGGTAAGGGAGGGCTGTGGGGTGGTGGTGCGGGGTCCTGAAACGAGAAAGGGCAGAGTCTGATGCTTGTAGGCAACCGTGCCATTCCCGGGGCTGCTGCTGAGACCTTTGAGTACTTCCAAAAGGCTCAAAGGACACAGAAGTCCAGGATCATTCAAGATCTCTACTCCTTCCTCTTTACACTACAGCTGCCTGTCTATGTACCTAACGAGGCGGAGAAGGCCGACCCCAAGCTGTATGCTGACAATGTCCGCAAGATGATGGTGAGGAGCAGCAGAGGGGTGTCTAAATGTATGTGTCTGTTGGAGCTGCAAATCCATGGACAGTCTGCATCCCTCCTCGATGGGGTGCTCTCCTGATGCCTCGTAAGCTATTACACTCCCAGTTCATGGCGCCGTTCGTGCACCATGTTACGGTTCCACATCCCTTTACGACACCCCACCCATTGCCCCAGATGGAGCACTCAGGGACTAAGGACACCCGCGCGACCTTTGAGGACAAGATGAGGTACCTGACCATGTTGAAAAAACAGTATGGAAAGGCCTTGCCCAAGAAATCCGAATGATGCTGCCTCCTCCATTCGCAGCAGGCACCCTGCTCCTAGCACCCAATCGATGTACTTGCTGAGCTTTACTTGTACGTCCTCTCCATCCTTATGCCATCACACGCTTCTGAGGGCACCATGAATTCCCGCTGTCTGAGCACTTGCCGCTTGTGAACACTGTTCAAGGATCTTCGGGAGGTTTTGAGATGGCGCCTAGTCAGTCGCAGCAGGTACAGCATGACCATGTGCCCGACACGACAGATGCACGGAGGAACATTGCACTCGGCGATCAATACTCCACCGCATGTCAGCCATCGCATGGTGTGTTGAGTCATACATCCACGCCAGTGAGGAGAGGTGGAGGCCTGCCGTCAGAGAATCGGCCCATCACACGCCCTCCAGCACCCACCCCGATGGGTACGCCATGGATTGGACCTCGAAAGGTGGTATCAACACATTGATGATAAAACATCACCCCTGATATTCAAGAACACATCATGCAGGCGCCACGAGGTCCAGGACCTCGGCCAGGCCTGGTGGAGGGGTTTGGGCTGGCTTCCTGGCGCCATCCCCCAGCAAGCGCTGGACCGAGCTCTTCTTCCTCGCCTACAGCCCCGTGTGGATCACATGGGTGCTCTTCATACTGGTGCCCTTCAAGCTGTATGAGGTGGGTGGACGACAGGGGCCACGGCGCATGCCATGGTCCCTGCCGAGCAGCACATTTGAGGACGGTGACCCACCTCGCTCTTTCCACCTCGTCCTGTGCAGGGCCTGGGGGAGTGGGGCTACATGGCGATTGGCCTGGCAGCAGCCCTGCCCGTCTTCCTGCTGCCGCCCTTGCTCCAGCCCAAGCACGAGGCGGGCAAGCCCTGGGTCCAGCGCTACTGGGTCAAGGCCAACATCTGGATTGCCATCTTCAGCTTCGTGGGGAACTACGTCTGGACCCACTACTTTTACCAAGTGCTGGGCGCAGCCTATACCTTCAAGGCCCACGAACTGAATGGGGTGAGATGATGGGGGGGTCCTCCCTGAGGAAGCAGCTCTGACCTGTAGTAAAGACTGAAATGAGAAGATCTCATGCCTGCAGATGTGGGCATCAAAGCGCACCAAAGTCCCCAGCCTCAGTGACCCCTCCCCCACCCACCTGCACACCCGTGCCCAGGTGCCCATCACCCTCTACTTCATGACGCATGCCTACTTTGCGCTCTACCACGCCCTGGCCAACGTGCTGATAAGGAAAGCACGGAGCATGGTGGGCCCGAGAAGTCCAAACCTGCGTATCCTGGCCGAGGCAGTGGTGGTCTTCGTGCTCGCCTACTCCACCGCCTACGCGGAAACGCTGACCATATCACACTTCCCTTACTACACGCACAAGGCAGGAGTTGGGAATGAGAGGGGAAGATAAGGGCCTCGGCAAGACTGTGTGAGGTTGACGCATGCCAGGGAGCCACTGCAGACCCATGCTCCCACCGCATGCTGATCAAAACAAATCTCCCTCCCTGCAGGACAAGGAGCGCATGTACACCGTGGGCTCCCTCTTCTACGCCATCTACTTTTTCGTCTCCTTCCCCATGTTCTTCCGCATGGATGAAGACCCAAAGGCAAGGCACATGGGTGTAGGAGGTGCTGAGTGCTGGACAGTGGGCCTTAGGTACCAATCTCTGAAGGGATGGTCAGGGTCCGTTGATGCTTGGCGTGGTGGACTCCCTCTTTACACTCTCTTTCCAATCATCCCCCGCGTGCCCCAACCCCCCAGGCCAAGCCATACACGCTGTGGAGGGTGGTTGTGGATTCCCTGGCTGCATGCATGCTGGTCACCCTCCTCCTCGACTTCTGGAGGCTGGCCGTGACAGCACAGCCGGGCCTTCCCTGGCTGGCCTGAGCAGGCTGGCTTGTCTTAGTTTGGTGGCTTACAATGAAACAGATCATGTTAAACCACACCTTGGATCAGAAGAGGGTAGCAAGTGACATGCTGTGCCAGGGCGGCAGAGCACACTGGTCCCGGGCTGGGGGCGGCCTTCATGGCAAGCATCAGAGGCGCACGGCCCTTTGCAGCTCCCCCTCAACAACGCTCTTGGCTCAGTGGATGCCCAGCAGCGTGCGCACGTGGGCGGGCGTGTGCTTGACCGCCGCGGCCACCTCTGCCGGGTCGTAGCCGCTGGCAGGCGAGTGCAACGCCTCATACACGCTGGCATGGGCATCGGCCACCGTCACGTTGACGCGGTGGATCAGCTCTTCCCGCGCCCGCGGCAACTGGAAGGGAGGAAGGAGGGGAGCGCAGTGGCTGGGATGTATGATTGGCGCATGCCATCGTAGAGAGCGGGGACAGACAGGAGGTGCAGGAGATGGAGTAAAACGTAGGCACCTGTGATCTTCGCGCCGCCTGCCACCCACAATCCATCACCTGGAGCTTGAGGAACTCTGGCAGCACGTCTGGCGCGGACAGGCGGCCAAAGAAGACCCGCAGCGCGTCAGCCACGGCCGGCAGCGACAGGCCCGTCGCCTGGGACAGGGGCGTCGCGTCGGTGCCATCCCCACCGGCCCCGGTCTGTGTGGGGTGAGAGGCGTGTTGACTCTTGGATCTCTTACTTGTGCGGCCGATCTATCCAGGAACACGAGCATACACGGCAGCAGCATCCGCTTACGAATGGCAGTGCAGCATACCTGGCCTGGTCTTCCAGCGAGCAAACACAAGATCCATTCCCTGCCTTCCTCAAAGCAGACGGCCCCTACCTGGTGCAGTTTGATGCGCGCGGCCACCTCTGCCAGCCCGCACCGCGCCAGCACGCGCGCTGACTCAGCCTCCACCAGCTCCGACAGGTGGTCCGCCAGCTGCAGCCTGTCGGGATTGGGAGCGGACGTGGTATGCAACGAGGCCGACGCATCACCAGGTGCTGCAGAGCACATTCCCTCCCTCAATCTTCGTCCATGCATCCGATCTGCACCCCCATCCATCCAAACCCCTCGCCTGCCCCATCCACTCCCCACCTGATTCTGGCCGCCAGGCCCTCGGCACATGCCGCCCCTTCCAGCTGGGACAGGAGTAGGGCCAGGCAGTTGATGAGGTAGATGCCGCGGTCAGAGGGGTCCAGGTGGGCACCCTCGTCCAGCCTGAGGAGCAAAGAGCGCGGGTAAGCAGTGCCACAAGCGTCGCTCAACATTCCGAGGCATGTGAAAGGCTGGGAGGCCGTGCACAGTGAAGCCTGCACCCATGCTGACCCTCACCGGTTCTTCCGGGCACCCTCACAATGACTCCCCCTGCCTCCAGGAGCCCACACCCCGCCCCACCTGGAGGAGGCGTTGGGGTCCAGGGCCTCCGAGCTGCGCTCGATGCTGTCCAGCAGCGGCTCCGCCGCGGCGGCCAGCAGGGCCTCGAAGTCGGCGCCGGCCGAGGCACTGGCCGGATCGAGGGCGGCGTCGTGGCAGGCCACCAGCTCCGCCAGCATGGCGGCACCCTTCACCAGCTGCAGAGGGATGGTGGTTTTGACGGCGGGGTGACATGGGAGGGTCCAGCAATCACCATACCCACCGCATGTACCCCCAGCGCAGCCGCGAAAGATCTGCCCCGCACCTGCTGTGGTGGCAGGAGGTCCTTGGGCGGGACCAGCGGGTACCGCGCGGACTTGTCCTTGCGCTGGCGCAGCTGCTCCCTGAAGGCACGCAGGGCGAGGGCCCTCACCGAAGAAAGCGTTTCTGACCAGGGACGGGAAGCGTGCAAGGGAGGGGTCCATGGTCAGGGGCATCAGCAAGGGCAGGTCTGGGCATCTCTGGCGCTGGCCAGGAATGGCAGCCGGGCATGCGGAGCGCAAGAGACGCTCGCAACACAGCAACCCTCCCAAGACACCCACCTGCCAGGCTGCTCTGTGGCCCCAGGAGCTTGGAGACCGTGGCCAGGTAGAAGGTGAGGACCTGGCCCACCCAGAAGCACAGCACTGGGGCGGGGCCGGACAGGAGGCACTGCTCCAGTCGGACCTGTCGGGACGAGATGGTCGAGGCGGCGAAGTCGAGGGGGTGTCTCAGCGCGGTGCACGATTTTGCGATGTGAGATCTGCGACGTTGTACGCAATTGCTCGTAGGCTCCAGAGGATGGTGCCGCATGCGCGGGGCAGGTGTGCACAGCCTCAGGCGTCACGCCTTGCCATCCCCTGGGCATCCTGGCGATGGCACCCAACAGCACCCCCAGCACCGCCTCTCGCCAGGCCCGCCCACCTTGAGCGGGCGGCAGGTGCTCTCAAACACCTTGTCCAGAACACGTCGGAGTGTGGGCACCGTGCCATCGGTCGTAGCGGCAGCACCTGTCGCCTCAGGTGCCCCGCCTGCCGCTTCCCTGTCCCCGCTCGCCTGGCCAGCCGCGCCCGCCGCCGCGTCGTTCCCTGCGCCCGCCGCATTCCCCGCCGCCGCCTCGCCGTCGCCGAAGAGCGAGCCGAGGAACTCCGCCTCCAGCTCGAGGGCCGCGTGCAGCCAGGCCAGCATGTCCCCCACGTACCGCCGCGTATCGCCGGCCTGCATCTCGATGGGCCGCGGCCCCTGGGTCAGCGCCTGTGGTGTGGGATGCAGACGCAGGGTGGGGAACCGTGCCGAGGGGGGGACGGTCATGCAGTCAGCGGCAGATGTTCATGCCGCTCCGCCCGCGTCGCCACACAGTCTGTCCTGGCTGCGAGACCCTCGCACGCTGCGCCTGAACATGCATGAACCAACCCCTCTTGCGTGCACCCCCGACCCCAGCAACCTTGATGAAGCGCTGGAAGAGGCCGGCGTGCCGCGCGTGCGCCACCTCGTCCATGCAGTAGGCCAGGAGCACGGGGCGGTCGCGCAGCGCGGCCACGGCGCGGGCCAGGCCCGGGTCCACCTCCAGCGCGTCGGCCTCGGCCAGGCCGGCGGCGCGGCGCCGCACCCAGCGGCACAGCCGCTCGTAGGCCACCTCCTGCAGCCCCGCCATGCTTTCCATCAGCTCCAGTCCCGCGCGCTGGTGCTGGCCGCACATCAGTGCGCGGCAGTTGTCGTGGATGGCCCGCACGTGCTGCAGGGCGCCGAAGAAGTCGGGGCCTACGTCCTCACCCTGGGGGAGAAAAAGGGTGGGGGAGGGTGTTGGTTCCCAGGGGTCGCAGCAAAGGGCTGCCCTGCCGCACAGCGGCGAGGGCAGAGGTTAGGTGCTGATGGCGCAGATGCGTCTGCACAAAGGACAGCCCCCTTCAAACCCTCCCTCATTCTGATGTTGGCGCTGCAGGCTGAGTCAGGGCATGTGACGCGTCAAGGCAGAGGCCACCAGGGATGATGCATGACCTCAGGCGCCATGCCCCCACACCAGCGCATCATCATCTCCTTATTACTCACGACACCCCACCCCCCCCTCAGTCGCCGACCTGGGTGAGCACGGCCTGCTCGGCGGGGCTCAGCTGGTACTCCTGCAGGAAGAGGGCCAGGGAGACGGAGCGCTGCCGCGCAGCCTCCAGCTGGTGCCGCAGGCCGCGGTGCTCGGCCAGCAGGCCCGCGCTGGAGGCGCGCGTGGTGGCCAGTGTGTCCTGCGCCGCGCGGCAGGCCAGCCCCAGGCCGTCCAGGCCGGCGTGCACGGCGTCCAGCGCGCCCAGCACCCCCTCCAGGCCGGCGAGGAAGGCGGTGGCAGCCTCCAGGCCGGAGTTGTCGATGGTGGAGCGCAGTCCTCGCCGGGCTGCGGGGGTGTTCTCGGGGTACAGGTCGCTCAGGGACTCCAGGCAGGCGCGCAGGTCGGGGGTGTCCGTCCGGGTGTCCAGGATCTGGCGGTAGGGGGGGCACTCGGTGTTGCCCGGTGCACAGCAGATCCGGTGATCCAGGAGCTAAAATCTCGAGCAAGCAATGTGATGATCTGTAATCACCCTTGTTGATCGAATGAAAAGTCCCACCGCACACCTTCTTGACCTTCCGGCTTATGCCGGGTGCCGTGGCCGGGACCGCCATGAGTCGGTGTTGCAGTTCACACGATTGCAAGGAGCGGCATCAGGATTGATTTGAGAGCTCAGGATACTACAGAATCTAATAAGTTGTATGCGGAGTGACGAGGGGCTGAACTGCCTGGATGTGGCCAGGGAATGCTCGCGGAAGTTTGGAGGGACAGATCAGATGATGAGACCAGTCTTGATTTTGTGTTTACATGTACAGTCCTCTTCAACCCCAAGGGTGGATACCACAGCACCTCCAATTGGGAGTACTTCTCGACGCTGAGATTGGATTGCATGGACGCCCTTGGGCCAGTAGGATACAGGAGGCAGCGAGTTTCTCCTTCAGTGTCTGACCCATGATCAGGAAATCTTCTGGTACATGCTGCGCGCACGAAAAATGAAAGCATGTTGTGACGGAGACCCTGATGGCCCGATGTCAGCCCATAAAGCATGCCGTACCTAAGCAAACCCCCAAAGTCCTTTGACGACTGTTATCGGTTTTGCCAGAGACCGCTGCAATTGCCGTGGAGGTGGTCGCCTGCTCTACATACACATCGTCGGTGTTACGGACCCTGGACGGCATGGCGATCGCCTAGATCACCGAATGCGTGACCGGGCAGTCTCATGACGGTACAGGATGCACGGCAATTGAGCCCCGTCGCGAGCTACATCGCAGGCTGCTCCGCCGGCTCCGCCGGCATTGTGACCGGCTTCCCATTCGACACGGTGAAGGTCCGCCTCCAGAACCAGCAGATCGGGCATGGCACTTCCTGGGGGACATTCAAGGGAATCCTGCGCCATCAAGGGGTGAGGACCTGGCTATGGAATCGCTGCTGTGTCCAGGCTGAGGGCTGTGAATGTGCCAGAGCGTGGATGCAACGAAGGAGGAAGGGGCGACGCCCTGTCTCACAGCCCCTAGACGTTGGTAACGTGCGCAGGTCAGGGGCCTCTTCACGGGCTTGAGCCCCCAGCTCGTTGGTGGCGCGCTCGAGTGTGGCGTGAACTATGCGGTGCGGGCGGGGAGCAGGAAACTGGGTCGGAGGGTGAACCAATAGATGGTGCAGGTTTCTTGGATGGCAAGCCCAGGTTCCTCTGATGGAAAAGGTGGCCCGGAGGGCTCCGCACGAGTAAGCGCTGCTTCCGGCCACTGTCCCTCCCTCCCACAACTTTTTGATCGCCCCGTGCAGGTCTACAACGAATCGCTCTCCTTCTTGTCTCGTGATTGGCATGCCCCATCGGCGCTCAGTGTCCCGCTGGCAGGCGGGGCGGCGGGCTTCTTTCTCAGCATCATCCTCAGCCCCGCTGAGCTAGTCAAGGTGGTGGTCCAGGGTGTGGACGCGGAGTGCTGGCAGTTGCGTACATCAGCCTCCCCGTGATTGTCTGCAGAACCTCTTGTAAGCACCTCAGGAATGGATACTAAATATCAGCCCATTCCAGCTTCACACCGCCTGACCCCCACCTCCCACCCTGCACAGTGCCGAATGCAGGCTGCTGATGCCCGGCTGGCCTTCAAGACACCCCGGGACTGCCTGCGCCACCTGTTCCAGACCGAGGGACTGCGTGGCCTCGCGCGTGGCTTCAGCGGTACCCTCGCTCGGGAGATCCCCGGCAACGCCATCTACTTCTCCACCTACACCGTCAGTCTTTCTGTGGGGCTGGTGTGGGAGGGAGCGTGACTGGGTCCAGTCCTCTGCAGCTTGTTGCAGCCCTGTCCCTCACACCGTCCCGCCCCCCACCCCGGCAGGCGCTGCGCAGCTGCATCCCTGGCAAGCCTCCGGCGACGCGTTCAGGGGAGGGGTGCTCCAGCGCCCCCGCGTCAGCCCCCACCCTGCTGCAGCGGCTGGCCAATGCCAGCTCGATGGTCCTGGCCGGGGGCGCGGCCGGCACGGTGATGTGGGCGCTGGTCCTGCCCATGGACGTCGCCAAGACGCGGATGCAGGTGGCGCTGCCAGGATCGAGGCGCGATCTATCCCTGCCGGCCACGCTGCGCGCGCTGCGGCGCGAGGGCAAGCTGTACACGGGCCTGGCGCCCACGCTGGTCCGCGCCTTCCCGGCCAACGCGGCCCAGTGGGTGGTCTGGGAGCTGGTCGCGGGGCTGCTGGAGGGCCACTGAGAGAGAGGGATTCGGTGGCTGGAGGATGTAGGGTCCGGGCCTCAAATGTGCCGCCATGCATTCCCAGCATTCCTCGCGGGAGCTCGGACAGGGTGCTGTGCTTGGGCTTGCGTGACATACCCCTCTTTCGTTGCCTCTGAGTTGTCTGCCTCCGCATTGACCGTGTAATTATACCCCGCTGAGTCGCGGCAAACGTGAAGTGAATGTGTTCAACCTCAGGATTACACCTTGTGGAGTTTGGGCACTCAGCCTCACACCCCGAGTGATCGCCTTGTACCCTGTCAGGTATCAGTGAGCCTGAATGGACCCTCGGGCCAGATGCATCGTGCGGCTCAACATGCGCGGGGTGCTCAGTCATTGCTGGGTGAGCTGGTCTGCAAGGTAGTCGACAAACATCCTCTGGGCGGTCACGGCATCTGGCGCCTTTGTCAGCGACAGATTCGTGACCAGGCGGAGGAAGGCGCGCTTGTGTCTTCGCAACTCGGCCACATGCATCTGGAGTGGGGTTGGTTCAAGATGCCAGGGTGAACGGAAGCGTACCCGACGATGAAGCAGGGAAACACCCCGCAAGCTGCCGGATCTGCCGAGCTGGCCGTGCATCAGAGACTCTGGCAGCAGCCTCTCACCCTCCTCACCGGCCTGTCCATGCGCAGCGATGGGATCTCGCCGGAGAATTGGACTGTCCCTGGGGCACCACCCGGCCTCAGCTCCTGGGCCGCAGAGATGGCGTCCATCACCTGGTGCGCGCCCCTGTCGATCTCGTGCAACAGGTTGGTGGCTGCAGGTGGGGGTGAACGTGGGGCTGGATGGGCTGAGATGCTGGATGCAGATTGATGAGAGGTGAGACCAACTTCCAGCACAGACATTATCCTTTGTCCTGGCCTGAGCGGTGATCCTTGGCACCGCGCCATCCCAACAGCACCCCCTTGATCAACCTGCTGCGCCCGTCCCCTTTGCACAGTCCCCCACTTGCTCAGAACAAATACAAATCCCTGGGCTCACAGGACAGTCTGGCGTTAGTGGTGGCGATGGTGGGCGCCAGCGCTCTGCTGGCTGGCGGGACCGGCCGCCCCTCCGACCCCGGCTCCCGGTCAGCATGCTGGGCGAGGTCCAGCGCGCTGACGAGGACGGCGCGCAGCTGCGCCTGGACCTCCGCCTCGCCCTCCGCGGCGGCGGGGCGGACGGTGAACAGGGGTGCGTCCCAGCGCTGGCGAGAGTCTGGGCGCTCGAAGCGGCCCGCCAGGTCGGCGAAGACGGCTGTGGCGTAGCGCGCGTCGGCTGGACGAGCCTCGTTCCAGGTCCTGCAGGTCTCTATGGGCGTGTCCACGTGCACCATGCAGTAGCGCACCGCCGCGCCTCGCGCCAGGCAGTACAGCTCGTAGCGGTAGCCCTTGATGGCATTCATGGAGTCCAGGATGACCACGTGCTGCCGCCCGATGCAGCGCTCGACCTCGGCCTTGAGCTGGCCTCGCGCGACCTTCTCGCTCCGTGCATCTGTTGGGGTTGAGAAGGAGGGTGGTGCGATGGGGGTTGGGTCGAAGGAGGGCCAAATTTCTGTACTGGGAGTGACACACGGACATATGTAGAAGATGTGCTGGATGGAAGCCCAAGCATGGCCTGGGATGTCTAACAAGGGTGCCCACCGCTGTAGCAGCCGTCGCGGGTCAGGCCCAGGGACTCCTCGCTGATCACGAGGCATGCACGGCCTTCCTCTTGGACCATCTTCTGCAATCTGGCAGCCAGCAGCGACTTCCCGCTGCTGGGGTGGCCCGAGAAGACGATGAAGGCCATCGCAAAGGATGGGGGTAGCTGGTGGAGGAGGAGGGCAACTCGCAGTGTTAAAGGCCAAGGGTCACGACAGACTGCTAAGGGAATCGTCTCGAGGGTACAATTCACCCACTATTAGAAACATTTGCTCCCATTTGTCCATCGCGTCTCGCAAGCATCAAAACCGAGGCCCAAATCAGAACTGTCACCATGCATACCCCGAGTTCCGGCGCTGGCGCCCTGGCGGACCCGAGTCTTCTCGGAAATGAGCCTGGGCGTGTCGTCGCGGATGATCACCCACTAGCGACCCAAGTGCTCACCATCACACGCCTCAGCTCCTCCCGGCGTGAGCCGATGAATTAGGAACAGCCTTCGGCATGACGATGCGACTCAGGTGCGGGGTACCAGTCAACGACCGTGGTTCCGTCTGGGGGCCTCACCCTGAACGTGCTTTGCCGGCTTTCATTGCATATTCATTCTCAGTGCTATCCCAGTGTCTTCTGTATGACTACCGAGGCAACGGTCTGCTGTCCTGCCTCGCAGGGATCTGATCAAGCACGTCAGGGCAGCGAAGACAGCTGCGGAGGAAAGGAATGTGATCGCCAAGGAGAGCGCTGCTCTGCGCAAGGCCTTCAAGGAGCAGGACAGCACGTATCGCCACAGGTGCCGGAGGGTTACAGGCATTGGGCCAGTTGGTACTCTGACCTCTGAATGCCGCCACACCTGCCTGGAGTGACAGGTTAGAGACGAAGCGCGCCCATCAGCTCCTTTCAATCGCCCACAACATGACACAGGAATGTGGCAAAACTCATGTACATACACATGCTGGGCTACCCCACCCACTTTGGACAGATGGAGACACTGAAGCTGATCGCCTCCCTCGGCTTCCCCGAGAAGGCAAGCTGTAGCCTGCTTTGTTGCTTGGCACATGTGGGATGGGCTTTGGCATTCATGGATACCGCACGATGCACCTGCAAAGTAGTGCGGGATCAAACTCCCTTTTGCCTGCCTACAGCATGTGGCTCCCAAACTCCCCCCCTCCCGCAGCGACTGGGCTACCTGGGCTTGATGCTGCTGCTGGACGAGCGCCAGGAGGTGCTGATGCTGGTGACCAATAGTCTGAAGAACGACCTGCACAACAGGAACATGCTGATCCAGGGGCTAGCGCTGTGCGCTCTGGGCAACATCTGCTCGGCGGAGATGGCGAGGGATCTGGCGCCTGAGGTTGAGAAGCTGATGGGGTCCATCAACCCATACCTGAGGAAGAAGGCCGCCCTGTGCGCCAGTCGGTGAGATAGAGCAAGCCAAGGGAAACTTGATGGGGGAATATGGTACAGAGCTGGCATGTGCATCGGCCTCGTGCACACTCTCCCAGTACCTGCCTCCCAAGGCATCCTCAGGCCCCTCCTCTGCCCTGCATGTTGCCTTCCGTGCCTCACCCTGCCGCCCTTGCTCGCCATCCCAGGGTGCTGCGAAAGGTGCCGGAGATGCTGGAACCCTTTGCGGAGCAGGCGGTCGCCCTGCTCTCTGATCGGAACCATGGCGTCATGCTTGCGGGTGCGGGAGGCTTGGGTGGGCTAAATGATGGGTCCCCTGCGATTCTGACCCAGGCCGCGATGTTACGTACCTTGCACATGCACATGGCTGGGCTGGCTGCTGGCTGGCTCCCGCACTTCAACCCGGGCATGTGCCCGCACAGGCAGTTTTCTCCCCTTTATACCCCGTTCCCTCCCTCTGCGGGTTCTTACCCACTTCTTTTTACCCCGCCCCCCCCTTTGCTGCCATCAGGTGTCACCCTGATGCTGGAGATGTGCCATGCCGACCCAGCTGTGGTCACCCTGTTCCGGCCCCAGGTGCCGCGCCTGGCCTCCCTGCTGCGCTCGCTGCTGGGGTCCCAGAGCTACGCCACGGACACTGACGTCAGCGGCCTCACCGACCCCTTCCTCCAAGTCAAGGTGAGAGGGGGGCGGCGGGGAAGCGAGGGGTTGAAGGAGTCAGCGGGGACCGTGCGGGGTTCGGGAGTCTTTCCAGCGTGAACCTTTGCTGGAAGCTGGCTCTGCGATGCAGGGTTCCACTGACGAGGACCTGGACTGCGCGGATGGGCCAACATCTTCAACTGCGTTCAAAGCACGACCTCCGCACACACACACCTTCTCTCCCCTCCACACACCCAGCTGCTGCGCCTGCTGCGGGAGCTGGGGCGCGGCGACGCCGAGAGCAGCGACGCCATGGGCGACGTGCTGGCTGCCGTGGCATCGAACACCGAGTCGACGCGGAATGCGGGGAACGCCATCCTGTATGAGTGCGTGCAGGTGAGAGAGCTGGGCTGGGAGGGGCTGGAGTCGGGTTGGTGTGGGAGGGAGACGGGCTCGGCGCTCCCGCTTCGCCCTGCCCTGCCCGCTCTCCCCGCTGTCGTCCCCCGCCCCCAACACCTCCACCACCACCTCCAGGACTGACACCCCCTTCCTCCCCCCCTGGCCCCCTTTTTCCCCCCTTCAAGACCATCATGGCGGTGGAGTCCATCGGCGGCCTGCGGGTGCTGGCGGTGAACACGCTGGGCCGCTTCCTGGCCCACCGCGACAACAATATCCGGTACGTGGCGCTGCACACGCTGGCGCGCGTCGCGGCGCGAGACCCCGGCGCCGTCCAGCGCCACCGCGCCACGGTGGTGGACTGCGTGCGCGACGCTGATGCGTCCATCCGCCGTGCCGCGCTGGAGCTGGTCTACTCGCTGGTGAACGAAGGCAACATCCGGGAGCTGGCCGCCGAGCTGCTGGACTACCTGGCGGTCTGCGACCCGGGGTTCAAGCCCGACCTGGCCGCCAAAATCTGCGTGCTGGTGGGACGCCACGCCCCCGACAAGCGCTGGTACCTCGACTCCATGGCCAAGGTTTGGGGGTGGGCGAGTGGGGGTGGGAGGGGAGCACGGGATGAGGTGCTGAGGGCCAGGCCAGGACGAGCGCGTGCCAGAATGTTCCGGAAGTCTGAACCCGACGGCGCTGGGAAGTGGACCCAAGACTTTGACGAGCCCGCCTCTCTCCCTCCCCTCCAACCCCCAGGTCTTGCGCCAGGCTGGCGCGTTCGTCACCGAGGAGGCGGTGGCCGGGCTGGTGCGCGCGGTGACCGACGCGCCGGCCCTGCGCGGCTACGCCGCGCGCGCTTTCTTCGCCGCGCTGCGCGAGGTGGGCCCCGGCGCGGCGCCGGAGCCGCTGGCCCGCGCCGCCGCCTGGTGCGTGGGCGAGGCGGGGGACCGCCTGGTGGAGGCAAGGGGCAGGCTGGAGGGGGAGGACGCGGCGCAGGTCTCGGCCCAGGAGGCCTTTGACGCCCTGCGCGCCATCCTCACGTGAGCGGGGTTCGAGGGGGTGAGGGTTTGTGTGTGTTTTTTTAGGGAGGCGGGGGTGGTGGGGGTGGTGGGGGGGGTGAGGAGACATGGCCTGGTGAGTTTGAGATCGATGCCCGGGTGTGGCCGCATGGAGGTGGCGCGAAGGACCGGGCAGGGAGCGTTACCTGTTTGGGGGTCGCGTGCATGGGGGAACGCCCCTCTGCCCAGCCATTGCTTTGCGCAGAGAGTGAAGCCCATGCGTCAGGGAGTCGACGGCCTTGGCAGCCGTCACGGCTTTGGCGACTGCGTGCTGGCCCGGACCATTGAACGCGTGAATGGAGGTGCACGTCCCATCATGAGCGCTCACCGCTCTCGTCCCCCCCCGAAAGCACACACACACACATACACACACAGGCGCCCCGGCCAAGCGGATGCGGTGCGTGAAGTGACGCTGACGGCGCTGGCCAAGCTGGGCGTGCGGCTGCCGGCCCTGGCCCCCCAGGTGGCGGAGCTGCTGGACCGCTTTTCGCGCGCGCCCGCGCCGGAGGTCCAGACCCGGGCGGTGGAGTATGCGCGCCTGGCGGCGGCGCGCGGCGGTCTGGCCGGCGCCGTGCTGGAGCCCATCCCGGCCGCGGAGGGCGGTGCGGGGGCCGAGGACCTCGCCCTCGTCCCGGCCGAGGGCGAGGAGGCCGCGGGGAACGGAGGTGGGACGGGTGGGGCGGGGCTCCTGGGCGCCGACCCGGCGGCTGACCTGGCCGCGTTGCTAGGCCTGGACGCCGGGGCTCCTGCTGCCACCAACCTGCCGGCGCCCGGCGCTGCGCCGGTGGACCCGCTGGCCGCGCTGGGCATGCTGGACCTCGCCGCGCCCGCCGACCCGCTGGCAGAACTCCTGGGCGGCGGCGGGGCCGGGGGGCTGCGCGCCCCGGCCCAAGCGGCCTCCGGGGACACACCCGGCGCCGGTGCGGACCCCATGCCCGCGTGCTTCCCTCCCCTGCGCGCCTACGACCGCGACGGCGTGTGCGTGCTGTTGGAGGTGGCACGGGGGGCGGCCCCCGGCGCGGCGGAGCTGACCGCGCGCGTCACCTCCGCCCAGGCGCTGGCCGGCTGGTCGCTGCAGGCCGCCGTGCCGCGCTTCGCCACGCTGCGCCTGTCCCCGCCCAGCGGCACGAGCCTGGCCGGCCCGGGGCAGGAGCTGACGCAGCGCCTGCACGTGGTCAACTCCGCGCCGGGCACCAAGCCCCTGGTCCTGCGACTGCGCCTCGCCTTCCAGCGCGACGGCGCCGGCGTGACCGACCAGGTGGAGGTGGGCGGGTTTCCACCCGGGTTCTAGGGGCGCCGAGGCGGTTGAGGGACGCGGCACACCGAGCGCAGCTTCCCACCCTCTGCTTGCTTGTGGCGACCCATGGGTCCTCAGCCCCTGGGTCGGCCGGGACTCTGCCAGCCCACCCACCCTGTGCTCGATGTCGAGACCCGAGCAACGAAAACAATCGAGGACAAGGCAGGGGCATGTGGATGAAACGGGGTTGAATGGGCGCATGGATGACTCCACACGGGCCGCGAGCCTCCACAAGGGGGGAGGGACCTGCAGGGATACGCCTGTTCCCTGCTGGGGAGGATGCACTTCATCATCCCAACATCGTCTGCTCATGGCAAGGCCAGCCCTAGAAGTCGATGGCCTCGTGCGCCGGTGCCTCCTCGTCGGGGAAATCACCGTACTCCTTCTGCCGCACGTCCTGGTCCTCCCCATACTGCGGGGTGCATGTTTCAGCGGAGAAGGCTTTTCCTGAGCAGGCCGCCGCTGCAAGCTCATAATCACCATCGGGCACATGCGAGACATGAGGTGTGCAACAGCATGCACACAACATCCTGCTCAGCAGATTGCTGTTTCCGCCTGGTCCCATACGCCACAGTGGCCTCCACACCCCAAAGGCACCGCCCCCCCTGGTCCCACCTGGATGGCAGAGTCCACCTGGAAGAGCGCCGTCTCGATGGACTCCTCATCCCCAATGTCGAGCGGGGTGAAGCTGACCATGGCAAACTCGTCCAGCAGGTTCACGATGACATCGTTCAGGGCCGAGAACCGGGGCCCAGTGCTCTCGCCCAGTGCATGCCGCAGCTCCAGCGCATCTGGGAAGAGGTAGGACTCCAGTGAATCCTGGAGTGGCAGATGGTGCGGGGGGGTGAACTGGGGCCTTGGATGGCTCAGCCGCGCTGTGCGCCTCGATGGAACTGGTTCAGGGCTCGGGAAGCCAGAGGGAGGTCCCCAGGGAAGAAGATCGATGCCACTTCACGTGCCAGCGCCTGCCAGGGCCCCAAAGCCGACCGCGGCATTTCACATGCGCCTGCAGGGGACCCAACATTTAAGGCTGCAGTGCCTCTCAGCCGGACCACACAGCGCACCTTGTCCTGAACGAGGTCGACCTTAGTCAGCATGTTCACGTGGGGCAGCTCCAGCTGGACCATGGCAGAGAGCGCCGACAGGCAGCCGGCAATGAACTTGGGGGGCTCTGCTACAAACTGAGAGTCCATACAATACACCTGGGGATCATTTTGTGTGCGTGGGTGTGGGTGGGGTGCAGAGGGAGCCGCGAGACACATTGCATGGGACATCAAGAGCACCACGAGTGTGATTAGCTACTGCCAAACCAGCACGGCAGCGCACAGGGAGCGCGTAGAAGAGAGGGCAACACGCACCGCGCAGATGTTCCAGCCGTCGCGTTTCAGGAACTCCGTGAAGGTCCTGAAGACGCTGACGTGGGAGTACAGCTCGATCTGGCCAGGGCAGTCGAACAGCAGGTAGTCATCCTCGCCGTAACCCTGTGGGATGGGTGGGGGGAGTGGTAACGAGCCGGTAGGCATCATGAGGATTGCACCGGCCCTGGCTATAGGCTGGACATAAACGTCTGCCCACCTGCAGCTCCTCCTCCAGCCAGTCGCTGAGGTTATCCTCCAGGAATTCCATGCAGTACAGCAGGCCTCTGTAAGAGGGGGAATATGTTGCATCAAGGACGATTGGATTGTCTGTAGGATACTCAACACAGTGCAGTGGAGTGCCGGTGTTACTCGGTGTATGATTCTTTCGAGGTGTGCCCTACCAAGTAGTGTGTTCATTTCCTCTTCGCTTCCAGCACCCTCTTACCCATTCGGCCCCAAATCTAGCTCCTCTGCAACATCATCTAGGGTGATGAGGTCTCTCACATCGATGGACACGGGGTAGTTAAAATGCTCGGCAGCGGGATCTGTAGGTATACGTGGAACAGCCAGGGGGCAGCATGAATTGCAGTGGGGGTGGAGACGGCAAAGGCTTGATAGTCATGGCAATACTCCACCATCCTGGACAGCGTGCACATCCCCAAACAGCCTCACCGAGATTTACGACGTGCACAGATCTGCCGATGGTGTCGCAGTGGGCTTTAATGGTCTCGCAGTAGGTGGACTGGGAGGGGGAAAGGGAGAGAGGAGTCAAGTTGGGTGTGTCCAGTCTACGTGGGGATGGTACAAGACATATACTTGCTCCAGTAGTCTAAAATAGATATCAAAGTCGTACCTTGCCACACCCAGCGGGCCCTATCACGAGCTGTGCGAATTTCATGCACCTCTCGCCGGCTGCCAGTTCCACTCGTCAGCTGCGCAGCTCAAGAGGAGTCAATGGTCTCGCTACGTCCTACTTCAATTGATTCCTCAATCTCTTATATATTAACGTATTCTTAGCATATGGATGGCATACAGTGCACCAAAGTGATGTTACAATCGTGCCTCAGGTCCTCGGAGTCCGGGCGCGACGCCATGCACCTTCACGCGCACGTGATGAGGCAGGGCTTGCCAATGAGAGGGATCTGAGTGGTTCTGGCCCTGACGCATTTCCATTTTATAATTTGAAACGTATGAGATCGAGTCTCAGCTGGTGAGACTCGCTGTCCTGATTGGTGTCGAGCAGCTCGACGCCGAGCCGGACGATGTCTGGCCTTCCCTGTACCTCTGGAAGGCTGGAGGGGCTGCGTCAGCCCTCAGCAAGAGGTGGAGCACTCTCGAGGAGCAGTGCACCTGTGCGACGCGCCAAGGCTATCATTGCACGTGCGAGTGAGAAGAGGGAGGTCACCCTCCTGGATTATGGTGCAGGCAACGTCCGCAGCGTGCGGAACGCAATCCACAAGCTGGGCTACACCATCAAGGATGTACGTGGAGTCTGGTGTGGGGCTACAGGTTGTGCCTCGGACAATGTACGGGCGGCACGCCACGGCTTTCCTCGTGTAGCACCACGCTCCATGCTGATAGATCCTCCACACATGCTCACCACATCCCGTCTTTGCCAGGTGTCATGTGTCAAGGACATCGAGAACGCTTCACGTATTATTTTCCCCGGCGTCGGTGCCTGTGGACAGGCGACGGAAGCTGTACAGCGCATGGGGTATCGCGAGGCCCTCATCGACTATCTGAAGGTTTGCTAATGTTATGTGGGGAGAGACCCTCACACATGTTGCCAGTCGCATTGTTCCTGACATATACCTTGTCGCGCAACCATCTTGAGGCAGACACACCAGCTTCCCTCACATCGGCCGCCCTGCTCCCATGCAACAGGCCGATCGTCCCTTCCTCGGCATATGCCTGGGCATGCAAATCCTATTCGACGGCTCCACTGAGAATGGCGGCGTGGAGGGCTTGGGCGTGGTCCCCGGCACTATCCGGCAATTTGACACCTCACTCGGATTGCCGGTGCCCCACATTGGGTGGAACAACCTCATACCCAAGTGAGTGTGGGGGAGCATGCTTATCACAATGGTTTGGTAGTGTGTGTGTTGTGTGTGGGGGGGGGAGATTAATGTGCATCTATGGTAAAAAATTCAACAATGGTATGCGCATCACAAAGGGCTGCCATTCTGACCAAGCCAGCAAGACAGGAGTTTTATCAGCTTGTCCCACGGGCATAATCTAGATAGTGCACAACCCTTGCCGCACAGGAAGGAGTCCCCCCTACTAAATTGCGTCGGGGATCGGCGGGTGTACTTTGTGCACTCCTTCGCCGCCTTCCCGGACGAGGAGAACAAGGACTGGGTCCTGGCGACGGGAGGTGCGCTGCGGAGGGGCGACGCAGGATGGAGCGGGAGGTGTATGCTTCTGTGAGCAATCGGCGCACTTCCCAGCCAGTCGACTGGTGCGCTTGCATGTGTGCCCGCCAAACACAGCCCCGCCCCCGCCCCTGCAGAGTATGCGGGTGAGTTTGTGAGCACGCTGCAGAAGGGCAACGTCTATGCCACGCAATGGCACCCGGAGAAGAGTGGCGCTGCTGGGCTTGATTTTATCCATGGGTTCCTGGACCCAGAATGGGCCGCCGCTCAGCCGCGCCTCGACCCCTCCGCATCCCGTGCGTCCAACGGTGAGCGGGCGTAGGTTGTGGGGTGGGCGGTAGGGTGTTGAACGCCTGTTGGTTGTTGCGCTTTGCTCAAGACTATAAATAGAGCCTGTCGCATGCCAAGCTTTTCCCTGCAGTTCTGTGCCTGATCCTGGCGGCCAAAGCTGGACTGGATCTGACGAGACCGGGTGGCCTTGGTGCCAGTTTCTGCGTGGTGTGTCCATCACCCCACCCCCCACCCCACTCACCTCCATGCTCCCAGGCGTGCCGAGAGGCCTGGCCAAGCGCGTGATCGCCTGCCTGGATGTGCGCGCCAACGACCACGGCGACCTGGTGGTGACCAAGGGGGATCAGTATGACGTCCGCGAGAGCGCAGGTGCTGTTTTGAGCGGGGTTGAGGGGATTCAAAAGGGGTGTGAAAGTGTGGCTGGGGCGCAATCCCACTCGCCCTTTCCCTGGTGTGTCTGATTGGCCTGTCTCTGTCGACATTCACAATCCTGTCATGGCATGCCTCTAGAGAGACATGATTTCACACACCTCCATGCTAAGCCCCTGAGCATGCCCCTGACCCGTCCTATCACCACTCAGATGCAAGCTCCGGCGCCGGCTCCTCCAAGGGCGAGGTGCGCAACCTGGGCAAGCCCGTGGAGCTTGCGGGGCGCTACTTTGAGGACGGCGCGGACGAGGTCACCTTCCTGAACATCACCGGCTTCCGCGACTCCCCCGTCGCCGACCTGCCCATGCTGGAGGTGCTGCGCCAGACCTCGCGCGGCGTTTTCGTCCCCCTCACCGTCGGCGGCGGCATCCGCAGCTTCACCGATGCGGCGGGGGTGCACCACCCCGCGCTGGAGGTGGCCGGCGCCTACTTCCGCTCCGGCGCCGACAAGGTGTCCATCGGCGGCGACGCCGTGCTGGCGGCGGAGGCCTACTACGCGCGCGGCGGCGTGCCCGACGGCTCCACCGCCATCGAGGCCATCAGCACCCACTACGGCGCGCAGGCGGTGGTGGTCAGCATCGACCCACGCCGTGTGTATGTACGTGCGCCGGAGGACACGGAGCACGTCACCGTAGAGACTGCGACGCCAGGTGATTGTGTTTGTATTCTTTTGGGAGGGTGAGAGGGGTGAATGCGTGAGCGCCCGTCTCAACCTCGTGCGGGTTGAGCCTCGGTTTCTCCCTACCCCACTTCATGCTCCCCCAAATCCCAACCCTGCCCCCGAAAACCACACAATCCCAGGCCCCAACGGCGAGCGGTACTGCTGGTGGCAGTGCACGGTGCGGGGCGGACGCGAGGGGCGAGACGTGGATGCCGTGCAGCTGGCGCGCTGCGTGGCCCACCTGGGTGCGGGCGAGATCCTGCTCAACTGCATCGACCGCGACGGCGCGGGCAGCGGCTTCGACCTGGAGCTGGTCAAGGCCGTGTCCGACGCGGTGACGATCCCGGTGATCGCCAGCTCGGGGGCGGGCCGCCCCTCCCACTTCTCCGACGTCTTCCGCGAGACGGGGGCGGCCGCCGCGCTGGCCGCAGGCATCTTCCACCGGCGGGAGGTGGCCATCGCCGAGGTCAAGGCCGACATGGCGCGCGCCGGCATCCCCGTGCGCCAGTCTGCCTGAGGACTGGCGGGACGGGCAGAATGGTAGACGGAAGAAGCTGGGCGGCGGGCTAGCAGCGATGCCTGTGGGTGATGGAGGTTGCTTGCTGTGTGCGTTTTTTATATGCAATGCGTCAGGCACGCCAAACGCAAGTGCAGCCACAAGAAGCTGCTGTCGCTGCCGGCCTGCTCGCTTGTGCCGCTTCCTGAGTGTCCTCCGTGCTGGTGTGTACACACTTTGTTGCAGTCGCGCCGTCGCTTACATCCCAGAAGAGCGCGGTGGTGGGGCTCGCATTCCCTCCTGGGACCGCCCTCTCAGTGCAGAATTACACAGCAACTGCGGCCCTGGAGGACACCGGCTGTTTGACTGCGTGGTTCTGTACTCCAGATCAGCATCTTGGCACTCTAAAAACACGCGTCAGGAAGGCTTATCATGTCCCGGCGCCCCGCCCCACTTGCCATCCAGCCTGCGCAGCCAGCAGGATACCAGAAGCATAAACTGCGAGCACGGCGCGGGCAGTCCAGTCCCCCGCGCCCAGCGTGTCCATGCCCCAGTTCACCGCGCCGGTGGCCAGATTGGCCGCCAGGAAGACGGGCAGCATGCGGCCGCTGAGCGCGGAGAGGGCCGCGGGCAGGACGTTGTCCGCCAGCGCCGCGCCGCCCGCGAAGCCGAGCACCGCCTGAGCGTTGAGGGCCAGGGTCCAGGCGACGTAGGGCGCGTTGCAGGCGCGGCGGGAGACGGGCTGCAGGCGTGCCGCCGAGCAGAGAAAGGCGGCCTGGAGGGCCAGGGCCAGGGCCGCGCCAACGGCCAGGGGCCTCGCGTTGGCGGCCGTGCGCCTCAGTCCGGCGCCCAGGCTCAGGGACAGGAGGTGGAGTGCCAGGTAGCCGGGCAGGGAGCCCAGGCCCTCCTTGTTGGCGGAGAGGAGGGAGCCCAGCGTGCGCTGCTCGGCGTGGATCCAGGCCAGCCAGCCCAGGCGCTGCAGTGCATACTGGTGCGCTGCCAGGATGCCCATGCCCACCAGACCTGCTTGCGCACATGGCCAATGCATGTGGGGATTGAAGGAAGGACATGAGAGAGGGAAACCATGAATCCTCGGCCCGTGGGTCGCATGGCAAGCGTCAAAGAAGTGCCAGGAAAACCCCCCAAACCCCTCTCCACAACGACCACAGCGCGCCCCCATCACTCACCGGGGGCCAGGAGCCCTCGCCCGGCGCCCAGGCCCTCGGCGACTGACACCGCCAGCCGCAGCGTGCCCAACGTGAAGAAGAAGTTCCAGTGCACGCCGTACTCGCTGGCGTGGGACTGGTAGTCCACGCCCCTCGTGCTCAGCAGGCGCAGCACGCCCAGCAGGAGCAGCATGGCGGCGCGTGTTGCTTCACGTCGAAACCTGGAACACTTGACTGCACGAGCGTCGCCCGTCCGGCTGGCGCCCCTGAAACCCCTGGTGATGGCTGAGGTGGCAACGAAGCTCCCCACCCCCACGTCCATCAGGCCTGGGGAAAGGGGGAGTGTGGGGACTGAGAGGAGCTGGTGAGGTCTGGACGGTGCACATCGCTCCTCCCGGGTCACCGGCTGTGCATCGTGCCAGCGCCACATGTCCTTGCATTGAACACCACAAATCCTCGCCCTCTCGCCCACCTGTCCCAAACGTCTCGGTCTTCGCGAAGCGGCGCGGGAAAGCGTGGAAATCCACCGCCAGGATGCAGATGCACGTCGTGAGCATCAGGCTAGCTCGGTACGCCAGGAGACCGTTCCTGGGCCATGCGGAGGATTGTGATGATCACATTGAGGCTGCAACCTTTTCCTCAAGGGTTCTTCACTCGTGACCGGAATGGGCTGCACCAGGGTTCATGCCTATTTACATGCCAGACGCCTTACTTGAAGACCGCCTCAGTATCGGTAGAGGTTTTTGACCTAGACCCGCTTCTGCCTGCTGGTCTGCACCACCTGGAGAGGACTGCGGCCAGCACAGCTGCCGCCAAGGTTCCATGGCTGGGTGGCACGATGCCAGTAAGTGCAGCGATCAGGGGAAGACCCAAGCAGATCGTGTCAACTAGTAATCTAGGCGCCCTCAGGCGTAAGGCCCAATACTCGATAGCGGGACATGTCCTGAGCCAGGTCAGGATGATGGGAAGGGTGCAGACAGCCTGCACCTCCCACCAACTCGTCCCTGAATGACCCGACACAAATGCCTCCTTCTGCAAGCGCACGTCATGCGACATGCTAGATGGAGCGTCACGGGTCCATCAGTGGTGAGCACAGGTGAGAGATCTCTGAATCGCTTGGCTGGTCATGTCGCAGGGTGCTACCGTGACTTTGTATTTTCAGATGCATGCGCGCCACCATCCATCCTCCCGCCCAATTCAGTTTCGAATTGCGCAGACCCACTTGGAACAGGATTCAGCCTTCAAGTAAAGTACTATAAAACCTGGGTTTCTACACTTCCCACACAGCTGTGGACCCCGATGACCAAGGAAATGTTGAGATGTGGCTGCGCTTAGGAGTGGCGCAGACAAGGAGACCGCACCCGCTACCAAAGGCTGTAGAACTGCCCTGATTGCAATCCCGCGGAGGAGAGGGAATGTTCGTATAATTCTATGGCTCTGCATCTGCAAGACAACGGAAAGCGCAGGGCTCGTCTAACCCTCCGTAGAAGCCTCCTGATGGAGAGATTCCAGACCAGCGAAGGGCGCCAGTCAGAGTGCCAATTGCAAAGCGCGCAGCCCAGGGCTTGCACGAAATTGGGTCAGCGATTCTGGCCCTCCGAAGAAAGCGAGTCCGCCTGTCAAAAGACATTTGGCTCCTGAAAGATCCTCGCTGCGTGCATTATCAAAGCCTTGCTGGTGCAAGTGGCTTGTGCCTTGCATAGGGGAGGAGGTCGTCCCCACCCTTGCCGTGAGGGTGGCGAGGGTATGGATCGCAACAAGGGTCTCAATCAAGGTATCGGCCCCCATCCACGGTTCCTGCTCCAGCAACACGAAGGAGCCAGGAGCGTCAGGAAGAGGCCCTTAACATGGGCATGCCTGACCCCTATCTCAGAGTAGGTGCACAGATTCCCGGCTGCTGGACATCCTCCACCGCCTGGAGCAAGACAGGCAGGCGAGCGTGACTGCTCACAAGCAGCTCTGTGACTGCGGCACCCAACGGCCCCACATCACCAGCCTGAGTGCTTACATCCCTCTGCGTGCCCATAGGAAGACCAGATGGGGATCGGGAAGGGACTGGGAAATAATGAGGAATCAATCGCACCAGGTGTCTGATGCAAGTATCGGGCTCCAGGATTAGCGAGCTGGCAGGGTTGGGTGCTCCTCCAGCGCAATCTTTGGGGCTCATAGGTTCTTTGCCGAGGGCCCCACCGAATGCTGCCGGCCCAGACGGGCCATACCCTGCCGGCAGGAGCTGCCCGGGCCGCCAATGCGGTACCCCCATACCACCCGATTCTACCGCACATAGCTCAGGAAAAATTGCCGAAGAAGTCTTCGTCGGCAGCCTCTGCCGCGCCCACATGGTCCCGGAACAGTTGCGCCTGCTGGGCCGACAGGCGCTGCTGCGTGGCATGGAACACGACCCCTGCGCCCCCTGGCGCCGCCCGCGTCGCGCCCAGCAGGCCCGCCACGGCCAGCTGGTCCAGCGCATGGCGCGCAGACCAGTCCGGCGGGACCTCCCCCAGGACAAGGCTGCCGTGCGCCGCCAGCTCGCCGGCGCCCTCCAGGAGGCCCGGCAGGGAGCCGGCGCCGCAGCCGGGGCGCTGCAGCAGCCAGGCCGACAGCCGGTCGCCGCGGAACCCGGCGGCGACCAGCGCCGCGTCCAGCGCGAGGGGGCCGTCGGTGCGCACACGACGCAGCAGGCAGCCGCGGGGAGCCTGGGCGGCGGCGGCCGCCAGCGCGCTGGCAGCCACGCTGTGCGCCTCGGCTGTGGGTGCATGGGTAGGGGGGGGGGTGGGAATTGGATGGGCAGTTGGCCAACCAACATCACACCGGGACTGCTGGGCTCGTGACAAGCGAGGAACGAAGCGTTGGCAGGCAGTATGAGCTGCATGCTTTTCGATAGACCCCGCGCAGTATGCCCAGTCCTGCCGCCCAGCCACTCACTGGGGGCCACCAGGTAGAAGACGATGCCAGAGGGCCAGTCCAGGCGGAAGGGGCGGGTGTCCATGGCGTCGCCCAGCAACACCACCTGGACGGTATCCTGCACAGAATGCAGGGGAGTGGGGTTGCCCAAGAGGCCCTTGCCATGCACGGGTGGCCATGATCTTCATCTCATGTGGCTCCAGGCTCCGCACCTCCTGTTTGTCGGGGTGCTCGGTGAGTGTGGCATGCAATATGTACTGGTCCAACATCTGCACGACTCCCAGCCCAGTATCATCGCGCTGGGTCCCAATCTCCCACTGCGTGTGGCGGGGAGGGCGCCAGCGTGGGCGCGGGGTCGCATGCAGATAACCTTCATGGTCTCTTTCGTGAGATTCATGGGGCTTGCCCAGCACCATGAAGAATGGTGTCACCCATTCTGCCCATGCTGTAGCCACTCATCCCGCAACCGATGTCGCACATCTTTTCCAGCCAAGCAGCGCGCGTACGGGTCGCAGATCAGGGCAGAAGGGCCACGCAGCGTCTCGCGGGCTCTGAGCCCGGCCAGTGCTCGACTCAGAACGGTGTCCTCCTCATCGGACAAGGCCCAGTCGCCCTTCGCTGCCGGGATTCGTGCGGCCACATGTCTTTGCACAGCACTGGCACCTGTCCCTCGATATGGGTGATGTGGTCGACAGGGATCCTGCCCGGGGCGGAGCGAGGACCTTGCCCTGCACGTCGCCATCATCCCTGCTCGACACACAAACCTCTGATCCACACGCATGTACTACAATGCATCATAGGAAAGGATCCAGAAATACATCCCACGTTGTATTCCTTGCATCGAGCCACTCCATGTGTTGACCTCGACTGCCCATGCATGGTTGATCATCGCGCGCTTTCCAGCCTGCAATGCGCGGTTCTTACGACCCTCCACCTCCAGCTATCTCGTGCTTGCGCCTCGTTCACGGCTGTGATATCACCGAAAGAATCACATAGCAGAGCCATTTGCCCTGCAACTTGCATTGGTATCCCTCCCCCTTGTCGGTGCGTATCGCTGTGGGTCGCCATGGCCGACTCCTGGGAGGATCAGAGCGAGGAACAGATCACATACGAGCCTCAAAAGCCCAAGCTGAACCCCCTGGCATCCAGCTTCAGCTTCAGCCCTGGCGCGAGCTCCTTCACGCCCGTGGCTCCTGCACCTGCGCCGAATCCAGCCCCAGCACCGGCAGCCGCACCCGCCCCCGCGCCTGAGCCAGCCGAGTTACTGGCAGCAGACCCACCGTCAGCAGAGGTGGCTCCAGCTCCTGAGACCTCCGAGCCGCCCTCCGAGCCAGAGCCCAAGGCAGCCCCAGCTGAGACCCGGCCGGCACCCGCAGCTCCCTCCAAAGGTGCTGCTGTGGTACAGCGCATGCCTTGTGCCTAGCATATGCATGTGAAGGTACTGCAGGCAGGTGCACACTGGTCTCTGTCTCAGCCATTGCCACCGCGGTACCCCTGCTGCAGCGCCAGAGGCCATCGAGACGGTGACAAAGGAGCTCAAGAAAGCCACGATTGCAGCGGAGGAAAGCGAGGCGCAGAAGGCTGCACGGAGGGCCGAGGTCGACAAAGTGCTGGCCGATATCACCGCGAATGATGCACGGTGCGTGCTTGGGAATGACTGCGCGGACTGACGTGGAGGCCGGGAGTCTGGCATGGGTGTTTGGTGCCCTCAAGCCCTCATCCGCAGTAGATGGATGTGTGCGCTGAGTGGCGACGCGCAATTTTCCATTCCTTGCGCCCTTGGGCATTGCCTCGCAGCTCCATGATCCTCACCGGCCTCTCTGCACTCGCCCTCCTTCCCCAGAGATCACTTGAACGTGGTCTTCATCGGCCATGTGGATGCCGGGAAGTCCACCACAGCCGGCCAGATCCTGGTGCTGACGGGGGGCGTGGATGAGCGCACCATGGAGAAGTATGAGAGGTGAGGGGTGGGGCAATGGTGGTGGAGGTCAAGAAGAATGTGTTGTGTTTGGGGGCCCACTGGTCTCAATTGTTCTACAGCCTGCTTATGCTCGGCGAGCAGATGGTCGCTCCAACTAGCCATGCAACCAAGGGGGCCTGGCAGCAGCCCTCAAAGGGTGCAGATAGAAGACTTGTCCTGGCTGGGGTGCTGTTCTGTGCCCCTGTGCCCAGCTGATCCCCTCGGCACCCTCCTTGGCGCAGGGAGGCAAAGGACAAGAAGCATGACTCATGGTACATAGCTTACATCATGGACACCAATGAGGAGGAGCGAGCGCGGGTGAGTTGCTTTATTACTCTCAAGCGGTAGGGTTATTCTGGAGCAGGCGGCTTGCGATGTACCCTTGCTGGTCCTCTCCAACGCACTGCTCAGCCCCTGGCCCCACCTGTTCAAGTATACCTTCACACACACCATCCCTCACCCCTTCCCCCCAAAACTCCATTTATCAGGGCAAGACCGTGGAGGTGGGGCGCGCCTTCTTCGAGACCCCCAAAAAGCGGTACACGATCCTGGACGCCCCCGGGCACAAGTCCTACGTGCCCAACATGATCAGCGGCGCGGCACAGGCCGACGTGGGCGTGCTGGTCATATCGGCGCGCAAGGGGGAGTTCGAGACCGGATTCGAGCGCGGCGGGCAGACACGGGAGCATGCGCAGCTGGCCAAGACGCTGGGCGTGCAGCGGCTGGTGGTGGTGGTGAACAAGATGGACGACCCCACCACTGTGGGCGAGGACGGCGTGTGGAGCCGTGAGCGCTTCGACGAGGTGGAGAAGAAGCTGACGCTGTTCCTGAAGGGGTCAGGGTACAATCCCAAGAAGGACCTGGCCTTCCTCCCCATCTCGGGCCTGTTTGGGCACAACATCAAGGACCGGGTGGACCCCAAGCTCTGCCCCTGGTACAAGGTGTGCACGCATGGGTGGGTGGGCGCGGTTGGGGGGGTGTTTACTCTGTGCTTCCAGTGTCTGGTGGGCGGGGTTGCAGGACAGCGCTGCAGCCGGGAGTGGCCTGGCCTGTTGTCCCACGTCATCTCGACGCCGCCCTTTCCACCCGCACCCACAGGGCCCCTCCCTGTTCGAGGTGCTGGACAACGTGGAGCCGGCGCTGCGCGACGTGTACGCCCCCTTCCGCATGCCCATCATGGACAGCTACAAGTGGGTTGCCATGCTTTGTGGGCACGGGGGGCTGGACTGAGAGTTTTCGTGACAAAGCGTGGTCATCATGAAAGGGGAGATCTGCAAAGTGTGATGGAAATGGAGGGTGTAGGCACAACCCGCCTCGGCCTTGCCTGGCTTGCGCCTTCCTCGGACGTGAGCTGCACAGTCAAGCCTCGCCCCCCACACTGTCGCCTTCTATGCCTCCACCTCCGACACACACCCGCCGGGCATCTGACGCAGGGAGATGGGGACCATGCTGATGGGCAAGAGCGAGGCCGGCATTGTCAGGGTTGGCGACTCGCTCCTGGTCATGCCCACCAGGTGCGAGTGCCAGGGAGATGGGCGCGCAGTCTGCGTCAAGGGGGGGTTGAAGGGTCGGCGTGGGGCCGATTGCCTGTAGGGGAACTTTGCACCTCTGTTGTCAAAGCGCCCCCTTTGCTCACCTTGCACACCCTGCGCACAACCCCTATTCCCCTCTCCCAAATAACAATTGCAGGACCCAGATCAAGGTGACGGCCATTTACCAGGACGACACCGAGGTGACGGCGGCCAGACCAGGGGAGAACCTGAAGCTGCGGGTGACAGGTGTTGAGGAGGACGAGGTGTCCCCCGGCTTTGTTCTCTGCTCCGTGCACAACCCGGTGCCGGAGGTCACCTACTTTGATGTCCAGGTGGGCGCGACAGACATGTGATTTGATGGACCAGTTGGCAGGGGTTGTGCAAGGGACTCACATTTGGAGCGTGGGCGTGAGACAATAGTGTGTACGTCCTGCCTCACCAGCTTGGGGTGGCAGGTCCAACAAGGTCTGTTTGGAGTCACTTGGGGTGTGTCTTCACAAGGCAGGCCAGTCCCCAACTGGCCTTACATCCACCACGTCTCCCTTGTTCCCGCTGTCCAGATCCAAGTGGCGGAGCTGCTGGAGCACAAGCCCATCCTGTCGGGGGGTTACAAGGCCATCCTACACGTGCACTCGGGCAAGTGTTTGGATGGTAGAGAGAGGGAGACCGCGCTCAGGTGGGGATCAGCACGCACCTACAATCCGCATTCATCAGCATGCCACCCTCCCCAACGCAGTCACTGAGGAGTGCGAGGTGAAGACATTGTTCTTCAAGGTCAATCCCCGCACCAAGGAGCGAACAAAGGCGAGTGCCCAGGGCGTTGTTGCAGGGCTCATGCCATTGCTCTGAGTGTCTTCATGCAAGCACTCTAACACATCATCGCTGCCGCCCCCTCGCCGTACCCCCTCGATGTCAAGCACCTGCACTCAGACTCACCCACACCACGCCCACCCTCTTCTGCAGACCAAGTTTGTGAAGAGCGGGGACGTGGCCATCGCCCGGATCGCGACAGAGCGCTCCATCTGCGTGGAGAAATTTGACGTGGTGCCTCAGATGGGGCGCTTCACCCTGCGAGACGAGGGCAAGACAATCGCCATCGGCAAGATCGTCAAGCTGCCAAAGGCCAGGTCTGGCGAGGCGGGGGAGGCAGGCGAGGGCGCCTGAGGATCACCCTGGCGCTCCACGGGCATGACCTAGATGGTACTACCATGGTGCGACCTTTGCGGGAGGCTGCTGTGTGTCATGTGTACAGTTCTCATGCTCGAAGGGGTCGGCACTGCAGAGGGGCAGAGACCCTTGCAGGGTCAGACACAGGCGGCAGGGTGATGGAAACTGGAGTGGCACGGGTCAGAATGCGGGTGAACTGCGGGGATGAGTGGGCAGGGTCACTCACGAATCCCGTCGTTATTGCTGTGCTCGGAGCACGGCGAGCGCGGTGCTCCCCGGCAGCTGCGCCCGGCAGTACGCCTCCCAGGGAGTTGGGGCGGGGGCGCCCTCCTCCGCCGCCTTGGGCACGGCGACGCCCGCTGCCTCCGTCTGCTCGAAGGCGGCGCGCACGTGGGCAAGCAGCTTTTTGGCGGCTTCGCGCGCCTCGGGGGTGTTGTCGGTCAGCAGGCGGCCGCTGGCCGCCAGCAGGGAGGGCACGGGGATGCCTCGGAGGGTGTTGTCCTGCGGCGGCAGTAGGAAAGGAGGATGGGGTGGAGTGGATGGGGTGACTGCCTTTGGAATGAGGGCTGCAAAGAGCATCATGACAGAGCACCAGAGCCTGTAGGAGATGGCCTGCCCCACCTCCTCCAGCACCACGTCACTCCCAACAGACATCGACACAGGCACCACCCATCACGACATGCCCGCTCTCCGGCTGCACCTGCACCCTGGCTTGCGCGAGGCTCAGGACGATGGCGGTGCGGCCCCGGACCTTGGGGCTCTTGTGCTCGGTGTAGGGCAGCAGCAGCGCAGACAGGGCAGCGGGGTCCACGCTGTCCGCCGCCAGCTGCAGCAAGGAAAGGGGAGCGCGCGATTTTGCGGGCAGGAGAGGGGAGAGCTGTCGACTGGCGGATGCCATCCCCCCCGCCAGCAATCTCACGCCCATCAGCAGCGCATCAACACCCCTCCCTGCCACTCGCCTCGAGGGTGCGCTGCGCCTCCGTCACGACAAACTGCTTCTCGCTGGAGGCGGCCTTGAGCAGGAGGGAGCCCAGGAGGCTGGTGGTGGGGCCCGCCGCTCCGCCCACATCGGCCAGCGCCAGCAGGGCATCTCCCAGTGACAGGAACAGGTCTCCCACAGCCAGGATGGCGGTCTGGTGGTGGTATGGAGAGAACTGGGTTGACGGTGCAGGGATGGGCGTCAAGGGACCCGGTCTGGCCGCGCTCAAGCACGTCTCCGCAGGACCCCATGCCCGGATCTACATTCCGGTCCCATCGCCTTCCTCGCACCTTGGTCACGGAGCTGCGCAGGCTGCGCACAGATTTGAGCACCAGGGGCACCAGCTGGGACCTGGAGGAGTGCATGGTGACGCAGCTGTGAATGGTTTGCTCAAGCATGCGCGGGGTCGCATGCCGCATGGATGAGTGGATGCAGTGCGATGACAGCAAACACCGGATCAGCCCGTGAGGGCAACGACACTCCCATCGAAGGGCTGACGGCGCCGTAATCAAAGGTCAGGCCACCTCAAACACGCTAACCCCTGCCCAGATAGGCCCACCGATCTCGAAACTCACAGGTGAGGCTCCAGCAGGGCGGCGGGCTCGTGCACGGTCAGCTGGCGCAGCGTGCCCAGCGCATGGCACACCTCCACCCAGTCCGCCGAGGCGAGCGTCGTGGAGAGCAGGGTGGACAGGGCTTGCTCCGGCGAGCCCACCACGCGCGTCAGCTCCTCCCGGGACGGGTACTCCACCTCCACTGCCACGGGCTCAGGCCCGTCTGGGAGCTTGTCGGTGGCCTGGACGGTGTCCGGGAGCCGCTTCAGAGGTCGGTCATCGCCCTGCATACATATGGGAGGGTACTGCAAGGCTCGGTCAAGGAGGTGAAGCCGAGGGGGGAATGAAGGTGAGGCTGAGCAGGCCGATCCTTGAAGCACAGCGTGTTACATACCCAGGCTGGCGCGCCCTTGGGGCCAACAGTATGAGGTGAAAAGGGTCCCGCCCCTCACGAGACGTACAGTGAGCTTCTTGGGTGGGGCGACGGGGGTGGGGCTCCGCCCAGGCAGAGCCTCTCCTGCTGCTTTCTGAGGCCCGCTCATGGGCAGGGTGTTCAGGGATCGCTCCGCCAGAACAGGCGTTGGGGCTTGTTTCAGGCGATCTGATTGGTCTTCGGCGGTGGGACTGGGGTCGGGTCTGGTCGGCTGCTCGACTGCGGCTCTCTGGAGCTGTCCCCTTGTGCAGACCATTTGCTGCCCGCCGTTGCCCTTTCAGGACCCTAGAGCTGCATATAAGTGACATTTAAGTGTCACGAGCTTGTAATGGAAGGCATGGAGGCACAGGGCTTGCGATGGGGCCTCAAGTTGAGATCATAGGGACTGCCGGACATACCCACCTTTTGAGTTGGGAGCAGCCAGCGGGATCTCCCTGATATCGCTACCGCAGCTTTTTAAGCCTCCATCCACGCCAGATACTCAAATTACACTTTATTGGAACGCCTTGTCAATCCACGGGCAGGCACGACCCACGAGCCGAGCTCGGGCAAGTGTTCCTGGAGTCGCTTTTAGGAAAATAGGAAATTGTGCATGTGTTCAAAATCCGGTAGCCGAGAAATCCTCGTTGATCGGGTTGGAAAGCGCGTACCAACTCACCAGACAGGGTTGCAGATTGCGACGCAGAACGGTCCAACGTTCGACCACATTTTGATCTGCCGACGCCATCACGCATCGCGAATCGAGGATCATGACGGCGCACATTGAGCTGTGGAAGGTGGCTTCAGATGGCACCATTGCGGCCGTGCCGCAACCGACAAATGCTCTGGACTCTGGTAAGTACTCCCCGCGATTCTTGCGAATGCTAAGTATTCCCTGCTGCTTGCTGATCCAGCCGCCCCCCTTTGCAGGTGCGGCCTACGTCCTGCTGGGGAACCAAGATCCTCGTCGGGTGTTCGCCTGGATCGGCTCCTCGGCCACTCAGGTCGGTGGGATTGGAGTGAGTGCAGAGCAGTCGTATCAGCCCTTTTGTTACCAACCGCGACACCACGCGGTCTGCAGGCTGCCAAGGAGGGGGCGCAAAGGCACGCTGCTGAGCTGGTGGAAGCCATGCCCAGCATTGCGGCCAGCCTCTTGCACATGGAGGGCGGCGAGAGCGAAGCCTTCAGAGCGGTGAGGTGGAGCTGCAGGCATGCTGAGGCTGGAGGGTTTCGCGCCGCGCACAGCGCCACATTCGACCAGCCGGTCTCCACCCGCACAGGCGCTCGAGACCCTCCCAGACGGTGAGGGCGAGCAGCCCGATGAGGGCGGGCCCCACGCCGTTGACCTCGGCCTCGTGAACGATGTGGAGCCCCTGCATGCCAGCAGATCCAGCAAGAAGCGTGAAAAGAAGAAAAAGAAGCAGGGCGCGACTGGGGGCGGCCCGGCGCCCGCCACCCCCGCCCATGCCTCCCTGAGTGATCGCCTGGATGCAGCTGCCACGGATGCCGGGCCAGAGGGCAGGCATGAGGAGGAGAAGGAGGAGGCTGCGCAACCGTCTGCTAATCCAGCCGCTGAAAAGAGAGCGGAGGAGCCTTCTTTGGCCTCGGGAGCCCCGGCCGAGGTGTCCAAGGGAGCAGATGCGGCGAGCTCCCCCAGTGCCAAGAGCCCCCCCAGGGAGGCGCCTGGTGGAGCACCCAAAGCAGCGCCCAAGGAAGCTGAGGTACCTTTGCCCGAGTCCACGGTGCCAGTTTCGGAGACAACAGAGCCCAGCGATTCTGCTCTTCCCTGCGACCCTGCTGTTGTGCCGGAGCCAGAGTCCGTGCCCAGTCCTGAGGCCCCGGTCCTGGAAGGGCAGAGGCCGGGATCCAAGGTGGAGGAGCCAGAATCGGTCCCCGTCCCAACACCCAAAGTGCCAGAGGTGCAGTCAAGCAAGCCAGAAGAGCAGTCGAGCAAGCCAGAGGTGCAGTCGGGCAAGCCGGCAGCTCCTCTGCAGGAGCACAAGTCCAACACACCCAAGGCTGCACCTGCCTCCAAGAAGAACTCGTTGCTGCAGCGCTGGCGGGAGGCGACCACTGTCAGCAGTACTCCTGTGGCAAAGGTAAGATGGGATGCTATGTCTCCCATGGATGGAGGATTGGAGAGCATGGGCGCCTGGGGTGGACAATGCAGTGGCCATTGCGTCGTCATGCTCCAAAGAATCTCATCCGCAATCCCAGCAGCACCCCATTCACACCTTCCCATTCCTTCGCAACAGCTGGGTCCGGCTGCAGATAGCGCCAAGGCATGGGACAGCAGCATCGCTGTGGCAGCTCGCATTGCGGTGACCCTGGCCCCCGGCGAGCAAGTGTTCCCTGTGGAGGAACTCAAGGGTGAGGAACTCGTGCTCGAGGGGGCGTACAAATGGAGCAGCTGTCGCAAAGCTGGGAGGGGCTCGTATATCTGACCTATCCTGAGAGGAGCAAAACAATACAGCGCTCCGATCCTCTTGCCCTGTCCTGCTGTCAGGGCTGCGCGCCGAGAGCGGGATCAACATGACCCGCAAGGAGGACTACTTGTCACCCGCCGACTTTGAGAAGGTGACCCATGGGCTGTTGAGTCCGCTCGAGGGCTGGTGGGCGGCAGACCTGGTTCTCGGTGGAGTGCCAGGTCTTTTACTGTGCTCTGTTATCAATGAAGCGAGTCGTTCCTCGAACCCTCACCCGGATGCAAAGCCACGTCGCGCAGGTGTTTGGCAAGACGCGGGAGGAGTTCAAGGCCCAGCCTGCCTGGCGGCAGACCCTGGCCAAGAAGCAGGTCGGCCTGTGGTAGGCAATGGCACCTCTTCACGATCTGCTTCCCGTAGCAGAGTCTCTGGTACCGCTATTCCCACGTTCCTTCCTGCAAGCGTCTCTGCTTCAATGCCAAGTCTTTGTGGAGCGATGTGAGGGACTGCACCATACAGCAGCCCAAGTACTGCCTTCCCCTCTATGAATAGAGTAAGTGTCTATCTGTAAAGCTCCACCACAACGATATGGCAAGGGACCAACACGACAAGCAGCCGGCTGATGGATCAAGGGGAAAGACGAGGGTAGCCTGCCGTAATGCACGCCCATCCCATACTGGAGGGGAAATGTACACGCTCCACAGTTTCAAGGACCAATAAAGGGGCTCCATGCCGCTGGCCCCTCAAGTGTGGCGCTGGACCTTGTCATCGGTCCCGAGGGTGAACAAATGCAGGCCACCATGTCGCTGGAGCACCGGAAGCAGCGGCTGCCCAGCTACTAGGAGGGGCCACACACTTCCTAGGTCTTGAACAGTCAGCGACCTTTCGCCAGCAGGTGCCACGACAGCCGCGGCAGTGCCACCTCTGAGGAGAGCAGCCACCCAGGCGGGGTTTGCCGTGCGTGTAAGGAAGACGACGCTGCCCGCCAGACTCGCCGCCAGCGCGCCCTCGCCCACCTGCAGTGGGAGTGTTCCTGGGTACGTATGACGGACTCTCAGATGGAGCCCCGCACCCTCAACTCCCATCCCTCTCCCATGTGCACTTGCCTCGGCGGTGGACAGGCTGCGGCCGGGGGAGACGTGCTCCATGAGGCGGAGCTCCACGGATCTCCCCCCGCCGACGACCTGCGCGTGCTGACTCAGCAGCGACAGGCGCTGGTCGCCGCCAGGCAGCGTGCACGCCGGCAAGGGGGAGAAGAGGGCGGCGAGCGGTTGTCCGCACCTGGCCTCCCACTCTGCCTCGGCGGGGCTGCCGCCCAGCACGGCGTGGAGCTCGCTGCGCCAGCTCAACACCAGGTCCCCGGCGCTGCTCACAGGCAGGTCCAGCACGACTGCCGCCGTCCTGCCAGGCGGCAGCGCCGCGGCGACGGCCGCGGCCAGTGGGGTCAGGGAGAGGCCGGCACCAGATGCGGCGCCGGGATGAAGAACAGCTCGTCTTGCGCGCTTGCGCGAGCGGGCCGACTGCGGCAGGAAGGAAGGGGCGGGGCCGCCACTGTCGCCGGTCCCGCCCTCTGCCCTTGCGGCATCAGCGCTCCCCACCCCGCCCTTGCTGGGGCTGAACCAGGAGGTGAGGTACTCGCTCAGACCGCCGCCGGCACCCTGGCTGGTGCCTTGTGTGGCGGCCGGCGGATCCTTGCTGGTTGACGCAGTGGGCGGCGGGTTGAGAGGCGACTCTGGCTCCTGGCCGTTCTCCTCCTGGTCGCTCTCCTGCGCTTCTTCCTGCTGAGTTGGCTCGCCATCGTGGGTTGGTCCGGATGCCGCCGACGTCCTCGGCCCTGGCGCCTCTGCGCCATTGCTGAGCGGCGTCGGCGAGGCAAAGAAGCTGTCTGTGCAGAGCACAGTCAGATTGGCAGTTGGCAGGGGTGCTGTCAACTCCGCCTTCCGTGCACCCAGCTCTGGGGCATGCAGCAACACAATTCGAGCCCCCTGATCGAGCCTGAGATGGCGCAGGCTTGAGGACCCTCGGTTTGGGTCACCCTGATCGATCTTTGTCTCCATGCCAATGCCCTGCACACGCCGAAGAAATGGGGTTCAGCACGCATGTGCCTTGGGATGCACACCAAGGGACAAGGATCTTGCAGCGATCTGCATCCCCAAGTATGACCCCCCCCGCCACGCAAAGCCCACCTTCATCAACGCGGCGGCGGCCGAGTCCAGCTGCTGCCCAGAGTTCTGGATGCATTCCTCCGTGGCCGCCTCCAGCTTGGCCCACTCCTCCTGCCGGATCTCGTCCAGCGCCATCTGGCACCGAGCGTCCATGGGTGAGAACCTGGAGAATGATATTGGGAGGAGGGGGCAATGCAGGAAGTGGGAGCAGAGGGAGAGCAGAATGCGTGTGGATTGGAGCATAGTTGCCTAAATTGCAGCAGAACCTAGCCCGTGACGGCAGTCGTTCATTGCGGCGCCGACGGCTGTCTGCAGATGGACAGTATTCCCAAGCCAGGACTCCTCTCCTCCCTCCTTCCAACCCTTCACACAACCTGAAGTACTGCAGGCCGGGGATGAGGTGCGCGGTGGCGGCCAGGGTCTCGGCCACACGCTCCACGTCCGTGGCGGACTCGATGAGGATGTTGCCCGTCTCCATGAAAGAGGAGACCGCGGCGGGGCGCGGCACGCACGGCACCGACCCGGTGCCAATGCTGACGAGGACCTCCAGCGGCGTGCCGGGCCAGAGCAGCTGGGCCTCCTGCAGCGCCACCAGGGCGGGGTTGTTGATGGTCACCGCACCGTCCTGGAAGCGCTCGGCGCCACACTCAAAACCATCGAGGTAATAGGTGGCAGCTGTGACACGGGGGAGGGGGGCTAGGGTTGGGAGCTTGGGAGGGAGCTTGATTCGCGGAGGGCAGATGAGATCTGAGGTGGGAGGAGCACCGACAGGACAAGCTCTCACCCGAGGAGGCGCGTGCTGCTTGCCAGATGGCGTGCCTGGAGCTCCCGCCATGCGCTGCTAGCTGCAGGGGTTTGAGGCTCGGTGTCGGGTCCGAGGCTCGGGGGCACGGAGCGCCCACGACTCCCTGTGCGTCCTTGCTGGTGCCATCCAGTGTCAATGCAGACTCCCTCGCAGAGACCTACCCCCTCAGACCAGGCATCACGCCGGCCAGCTCAGGAATACTGCACTGCAGAACCCCACTCCTCCCCTCTTCCGCACCTCCTGCATCCTGCCCCGCAGCTCGGGGCCCACTTCATAGTTTCGGAAGACAAAGGGCGTGGCGGGCATGACCGAGGCCAGGGTGGCCACGAGCGCCACCCTTGGGCAGTCCAGCGGAGCGGAATCTGGGTGCACAAAGATGGTGGTGTCTGGGAGATTGTTGGGGAGATCCGGGGATGCCCTGCCTTACTGCAGGCTCCACTCAATCAAGGGGCTCAGCAGCAAGTGCATGGGATTGGGACTGCACACTGACGCCCGGTGGCCCTGCTCATCTCTGCGGAGGCACACCAGACCAGCTCCGCACGACCCTCGTGCCAGGTGGCAGCACGCCCCGGTCCCACGCACCTATCATGGACTTGCCCAGCACCTCTGGGAAGGCGCTGAGGTCGCAGTAGTCCTTCAGGAGCTCCTCGTACATGGCTGGGAATGAGGGGGGGATGGGACAGGTCATTACGGGTGCAGAGTGTGAAATCAATGCGGTGCAACTCGCAGACCAGTGCCATGAAGCAATCCCTCAAAGTGGAATCCAGTGCGCGAGACTTCTCCAAATCAGCCCACACCACAGGGATGGGTCGCTCTCCATCCCCAGCTCCCCCCTCCTCATTCATAGGCCTCCTTCCTGCCCTACCCCAGTGTCTCGCCCCCTACTAGCCTCCTCCACAAAATCATCATTGTAGAAGCCTCCCCCTATCCGCACACCACTCCCCCCTCCCAACCAACCAATCCCTCACCCGAGTCGTGCTTGTAGCCGACCACCACGGCACGCACATGCTGGGTGCGAGAGTGAAAATTGCGGTAGAAGCTGTCCATCCACCCCTCCTCCCGGTCCTGGGCGCCGCCGCGGGAGAAGACGCGCTGGCCCAGCACCTTGTAGATGGCCTCGCACTCGTCCAGGGTCATGCGGCGCAGGGCCAGGGCCACCGCCAATAATCCCCCCGTGGAGGTGCCCACGATGAGGTCAAACAGCTCGTGCACACGCCGACCGGTCCGCGCCTCCAGCTCTCGCAGCATGCGAACCGTGGCCATGCCCGTTTTTGGGGGGGGGGTGGGGGGGGCGGGGGGGGGGGTGATGAGTTCCCATGCGGGCATCGAGGATGGGCGGCAGGCGGTTGTTCCTTTGTGGCATTCGGTGCGGGGGCGTCCAGAGAACCCCTGCCCGCCTGGCTGCGGATATTTACCCGCAATCCCAACAAAAGGGAGTGCCATAGGCAGGAGGGGGTTCCGCCCTAGCACCTGCCGCCCGCCAGATTCCACACCTTCTGCCCACCTTCATACCCCCGCCGTCCATGGAGAGGATGCGCACGCCGCGCCCCTGCATGGGCGCCCGACCCACGGCCCGCTGCACCGTCGCGTTCTCCCCTGCAAGTGGAGGTGTGGGAAGTGTTGGTGAAGCGGAGGCTGAGTATCTGGGCGCAGGCGAGGCCTGATTCAACGAAAACGCCATGGGCGTGTCTACCTCTCAACCGCATCAGGCATTGTCATTTGCCCCAAGCTGCTGCAATTGCCACCACGACCCCACGACAAGCCGCGCAGCAAGCCTGCGCCCTCACGCGACACCCTACCATCCCCCCGGCCTCCGAATTCCCTCCCAAGCTCCCCCCACCCAGGATGGCCAGCACGCGGATGGCGGCGGCCCGCACCGGGCCCCCGCCCGCACCCCCCGCCTCCCCCGCCAAGCCGTCCACGGCGTCCATGAGGGGGCGCCGGCGCCGCAGCGCGGCGCGCACCCGCTCGCCAAAGCACAGGTTCCCCACGGCTTCCAGGGCCGCGGCCAGCACCCCTGTCTCCACCCCGGGCCGCGTGCACAGTCCCTCCAGTGCGTCCAGCACCTCCTCCCCCGCCACGCGCGCGCCGGCGGCCGTGGAGGTCAATGCCAGCGCGCACAGCACGCGCAGCGCGGCCAGCGTGACGGCGGGCGAGGCCGCAGAGCGCAGCAGGCCCAGCACGGGGGACACATCGCGCGCGGCCACCGCCTCGGCCAGCTCGGGGCCGTGCGAGGCGAGCAGCGCCAGCGTGGCGCAGGTCTCGCAGGCCACCTGCTCCGAGTCGGACAGAGCCATGAGCAGGAGCTGCTGGAGGGCGCCCTCCTGCGCCACCATCTGGGTGCGGTGCTTGGGGTCGGAGGCCGCCAGGTGGCCTGCGGGTGAGAGTGGCGGGGGGGGGGGGGGGGGGGGGGGGGGGG